CCATCCTCACAGATTCAGGTGGGTTGTAGAGCACCTTGTGTTAGTACAATGATAGCTACATCGGCCCCAGGTAACAGCAGCAGGGTCAGGTGGGGACCAGGTGGTGAGCAGGTTGGGCAGGGTCGAGTGGATGGAACATCCACCATTGTTGGCTGAAAAGTCAATCCATGATTCATGCCACCAACTCTGATTGTGTGAATCCTTATAGTTCCATGGATTTAAAGATTCAGATTTCTTTGACCCATTTGGAAGTGTATGTGAAGTATATTGACACATCACTGCCTGTTGTTGCAGATAACTCAGTTGTTTCCACACAGAAAACGCTACTGTATACATACTGCAAACATACTTTGTTGCCGTGTGCCAGTGTTATGGGTAGTCATTGCCAGTCACTGCATTTTCTGTTAGTATCTGGGTCATTGCTTCCCTGTTTCCAGTAGCTGGGTCATTGCCGCCTCTGTTGTCACTTGCCGCCACTGTTGTCACTTGCCGCCTCTGTTGTCACTTGCCGCCGCTGCGGTCCAGTAGATAGTGTGCCTGTATTGGGCGCATCTGTTATCCTGATCACCTCATACTGAAAGGTGTTACAAGATGTTATCCTCCCATCATCACAGTAGCATCCAGTGATTGAAGTAGTTTGGTCATCATGACCTGTTATCAGTTGTAAGGTCATCGTGACCTGTCGTCAGCAGTTGGGTCATTGTGATCCGTTGTCAATGTGAATGTATACTGAAACACATAATACAACAACAAAATGCACAATGAACTGAAAATAATGACAAGACAATAGTTTTATAGTATGTTTTGAAATAAATATATTATTGTCTTTGCTCACCTCATCTCTTAATACCTAGAACAATTTATTTAATTTTTTGTGGTCATTCTGACAAATAGGTTTTTAAATTGTGTCACTATAGTAAGCCTTTGTAATGATGGGGATTGAGTGGTCAGGTTGGCTGCTGAATATTAATATGATGTCAAGGGTGATGTCTGTATTGGGGACTGATGTCAAGGGTGATGTCTGTATTGGGGACTGATGTCAAGGGTGATGTCTGTATTGGGGACTGATGTCAAGGGTGATGTCTGTATTGGGGACTGATGTCAAGGGTGATGCTTGTATTGGGGACTGATGTCAAGGGTGATGTCTGTATTGGGACTGACAAGGGTGATGTATTGGGGACTGATGTCAAGGGTGAAGGGTGATGTCTGTATTATTGGGGACTGATGTCAAGGGTGATGCTTGTATTGGGGACTGATGTCAAGGGTGATGTATTGGGGACTGATGTCAAGGGTGATTGGGGACTGATGTCAAGGGTGATGCTTGTATTGGGGACTGATGTCAAGGGTGATGTCTGTATTGGGGACTGATGTCAAGGGTGATGCTTGTATTGGGGACTGATGTCAAGGGTGATGCTTGTATTGGGGACTGATGTCAAGGGTGATGCTTGTATTGGGGACTGATGTCAAGGGTGATGCTTGTATTGGGGACTGATGTCAAGGGTGATGCTTGTATTGGGGACTGATGTCAAGGGTGATGCTTGTATTGGGGACTGATGTCAAGGGTGATGCAAGGGACTGATGTCAAGGGTGATGCTTGTATTGGGGACTGATGTCAAGGGTGATGCTTGTATTGGGGACTGATGTCAAGGGTGATGGTGATGGGGACTGATGTCAAGGGTGATATTGTATTGGGGACTGATGTCAAGGGTGATGCTTGTATTGGGGACTGATGTCAAGGGTGATGTCTGTATTGGGGACTGATGTCAAGGGTGATGCTTGTATTGGGGACTGATGTCAAGGGTGATGTCTGTATTGGGGACTGATGTCAAGGGTGATGTCTGTATTGGGGACTGATGTCAAGGGTGATGTCTGTATTGGGACTGATGTCAAGGGTGATGTCTGTATATTGGGACTGATGTCAAGGGTGATGCCTGTATTGGGGACTGATGTCAAGGGTGATGCTTGTATTGGGGACTGATGTCAAGGGTGATGCTTGTATTGGGGACTGATGTCAAGGGTGATGCTTGTATTGGGGACTGATGTCAAGGGTGATGTCTGTATTGGGGACTGATGTCAAGGGTGATGCTTGTATTGATGCTTGGGACTGATGTCAAGGGTGATGCTTGTATACTGATGTTGTATTGGGACTGATGTCAAGGGTGATGTCTGTATTGGGGACTGATGTCAAGGGTGATGCTTTGTATTGGGGACTGATGTCAATTGGGGACTGATGTCAAGGGTGATGTCTGTATTGGGACTGATGTCAAGGGTGATGCTTGTATTGGGGACTGATGTCAAGGGTGATGCTTGTATTGGGGACTGATGTCAAGGGTGATGCTTGTATTGGGGACTGATGTCAAGGGTGATGCTTGTATTGGGACTGATGTCAAGGGTGATGTGTATTGGGGACTGATGTCTGTATTGGGACTGATGTCAAGGGTGATGTCTGTATTGGGACTGATGTCAAGGGTGATGTCTTGTATTGGGGACTGATGTCAAGGGTGATGCTTGTATTGGGGACTGATGTCAAGGGTGATGCCTGTATTGGGGACTGATGTCAAGGGTGATGCTTGTTTTGGGGACTGATGTCAAGGGTGATGCTTGTATTGGGGACTGATGTCAAGGGTGATGCCTGTATTGGGGACTGATGTCAAGGGTGATGCTTGTATTGGGGACTGATGTCAAGGGTGATGCTTGTATTGGGGACTGATGTCAAGGGTGATGTCTGTATTGGGGACTGATGTCAAGGGTGATGTCTGTATTGGGGACTGATGTCAAGGGTGATGTCTGTATTGGGGACTGATGTCAAGGGTGATGTCTGTATTGGGGACTGATGTCAAGGGTGATGTCTGTATTGGGGACTGATGTCAAGGGTGATGCTTGTATTGGGGACTGATGTCAAGGGTGATGCTTGTATTGGGGACTGATGTCAAGGGTGATGTCTGTATTGGGACTGATGTCAAGGGTGATGCTTGTATTGGGGACTGATGTCAAGGGTGATGTCTGTATTGGGGACTGATGTCAAGGGTGATGCTTGTATTGGGGACTGATGTCAAGGGGTGAAGGGTGATGTCTGCCTGTATTGGGGACTGATGTCAAGGGTGATGCTTGTATTGGGGTGATGTCTGATGTATTGGGGACTGATGTCAAGGGTGATGTCTGTATTGGGGACTGATGTCAAGGGTGATGCTTGTGTATTGGGGGGACTGATGTCAAGGGTGATGCTTGTATTGGGGACTGATGTCAAGGGTGATGCTTGTATTGGGGACTGATGTCAAGGGTGATGTCTGTATTGGGGACTGATGTCAAGGGTGATGTCTGTATTGGGGACTGATGTCAAGGGTGATGCTCTGTATTGGGGACTGATGTCAAGGGTGATGCTTGTATTGGGGACTGATGTCAAGGGTGATGCTTGTATTGGGGACTGATGTCAAGGGTGATGTCTGTATTGGGGACTGATGTCAAGGGTGATGCTTGTATTGGGGACTGATGTCAAGGGTGATGCTTGTATTGGGGACTGATGTCAAGGGTGATGCCTTCCAATTTCACCTCTGGCTATAATACTTGGCACAAACCTACCAAGGTGCATACATTCTATGCAAAATGTATCATGAACTTGTTTAATATTAAGTGCAGGGTGGAATCCCCAAATTTCTGTACCAAACAACAATATGAAATAAAACATTTAGTGGCAAATTGTGAAAGTTAAAAACCTTTGATTTCAACATACATAATACTTTGTAGGGATGTTTGCATTGGGACCTGCTAGTGTAACAAGGGAAAGTTGGACTGCTGTTGATGAGATGGTGTTTGATAATATTGTCATTCTGTTGATGAGATGATGTTTTGATAGTATTGTCATGCTGTTGATGAGATGGTGTTTGATAATATTGTCATGCTGTTGATGAGATGGTGTTTGATGATATTGTCATGCTGTTGATGAGATGGTGTTTGATGATATTGTCATGCTGTTGATGAGATGGTGTTTTGATAGTATTGTCATGCTGTTGATGAGATGGTGTTTGATAATATTGTCATGCTGTTGATGAGATGGTGTTTGATAATATTGTCATGCTGTTGATGAGATGGTGTTTGATGATATTGTCATGCTGTTGATGACATGGTGTTTGATGATATTGTCATGCTGTTGATGAGATGGTGTTTGATCATATTGTCATGCTGTTGATGACATGGTGTTTGATGATATTGTCATGCTGTTGATGACATGGTGTTTGATCATATTGTCATGCTGTTGAGATGGTGTTTGATCATATCGTCATGCTGTTGATGACATGGTGTTTGATCATATTGTCATGCTGTTGATTAGATGGTGTTTGATCATATTGTCATACTGTTGATGACATGGTGTTTGATGATATTGTCATGCTGTTGATGACATGGTGTTTGATGATATTGTCATACTGTTGATGACATGGTGTTTGATGATATTGTCATGCTGTTGATGACATGGTGTTTGATGACATTGTCATGCTGTTGATGACATGGTGTTTGATGATATTGTCATGCTGTTGATGACATGGTGTTTGATGATATTGTCATGCTGTTGATGACATGGTATTTTATCATATTGTCATGCTGTTGATGAGATGGTGTTTGATCATATTGTCATGCTGTTGATGAGATGGTGTTTGATCATATTGTCATACTGTTGATGACATGGTGTTTGATGATATTGTCATGCTGTTGATGAGATGGTGTTTGATCATATTGTCATACTGTTGATGACATGGTGTTTGATCATATTGTCATGCTGTTGATGACATGGTGTTTGATGATATTGTCATGCTGTTGATGAGATGGTGTTTGATGATATTGTCATGCTGTTGATGACATGGTGTTTGATCATATTGTCATGCTGTTGATGAGATGGTGTTTGATGATATTGTCATGCTGTTGATGACATGGTGTTTGATCATATTGTCATACTGTTGATGACATGGTGTTTGATCATATTGTCATGCTGCTCTCCTTTGTTTCAGATGAGCAGGAGAGGGTACAGAAGAAAACCTTCACCAACTGGATGAACACATACCTCCGACAGGTGAGTAGCATTGACAAAACACTCACAGAATCCTTCATAGTTGAGCACCGTTGATGTTCACTGGAAGTGTACATTTTCACATGTTCGATTTGTTATGGTAAAACTTTTATAGATATTTAAAGACATCAACATAAAAAACATATATAATTGTTTTGCATGATAATGTTGCCTCAGGAGAGGTTCACACCCCAGTGTAGGAGTATCTGATCCTGTGTGAATGACTTATTGATTCCTGCAACTACCTGCAATGAAATACCTGCCTACAGTGTTCCTGATTTGTCAGTCATATGCTTTTTGCTATGGGACTAATTGTCAGCTTTCCTAATGGCGACACTAATGATTAGGATCAGTTGTAAACCGATGGTGTTAGGAAGTCCTCAGTTCAGGTAGAATATGTGAAGTAGTTTCCATGTCCTGTGATACCTGGTGTAGGATTGCCAGTGTTCAGGGGGCCGTCTACTGTAATTAGCAGTCCGGGATTACAGTATTGATTGTCAATGATTCAGCGCTGAACAGTTCTGTTGGAGAACGAGGCCAGGTATTTATTGATGTTGGACTGAAAGGAAGCCTCTTTGACAGAGAGTAGATGTTGGTATGGATGTGTTCTGAATAAATCAATGGTACAATTACCTACAGTCATCAATCAGGTACTGGTCTATTATTCCTCTCATCACTCAATCATTGTCATAGAAGTATCCAGGGGGGGGCGGACACCTGTACCTTTCACACTTTCCCAATCCTGCATTTTCATGGGTTTATGGTGATGTCGAAGCTGTATGGGGCCTCTTATCACAGTGATTGCTGTATGAAGTCTCCAGGCACTGTAATGTCTATTGTAGGTTTCCAGGGGCTATTGTGGCTATATGAGGTCTCCAGGCACTGTAATGTCTATTGTAGGTCTCTAGGGGCTATTGTGGCTATATGAGGTCTCCTGGCACTGTAATGTCTATTGTAGGTCTCTAGGGGCTATTGTGGCTATATGAGGTCTGGGGGCCAGGCACTGTAATGTCTATTGTAGGTCTCTAGGGGCTATTGTGGCTATATGAGGTCTCCAGGCACTGTAATGTCTATTGTAGGTCTCTAGGGGCTATTGTGGCTATATATATGAGGTCTCCAGGCACTGTAATGTCTATTGTAGGTCTCCAGGGGCTATTGTGGCTATATGAGGTCTCCAGGCACTGTAATGTCTATTGTAGGTCTCCAGGGGCTATTGTGGGTATATGAGGTCTCCAGGCACTGTAATGTCTATTGTAGGTCCCTATGGGCTATTGTGGCTCTATGAGGTCTCCTGGCACTGTAATGTCTATTGTAGGTCTCTAGGGGCTATTGTGGCTATATGAGGTCTCCTGGCACTGTAATGTCTATTGTAGGTCTCCAGGGGCTATTGTGGCTATATGATGGTGGTGGTGGTGGAATTGGGTTTAGGCACTGTCGTGTTTGAGAATATAGGAGGTCTCCATGCAATGGCTATGGCGTGCTAGGGGCTATTGTGGTATATGAGGTCTCCAGGCACTGTAATGTCTATGCTTGGGCTACTAGCCCAGAGGTCAGGCACTGGTTTTATAGTGCTAGCCCACTGAGGATACCAGGCACTGTAATGCTATTGAAGGCATGGAATGAAGTCTCCAGGCACAGACACATTATACTGACTCGTCTCCGACCAGTCCTTGATCTCCAGGCTGTAACATTAATGCCGGTCTCCAGGCAGTGGACCAACAAGTACCAGGCACTGTAATGTCATTTTGGTATGGCGCTATGAGGATGTCTATTGTAGGGGGCTATTGTGGAACCATAACCTTCAGGGGCACTGTAATGCAGGCATTGTAGGTCTCCAGGGCTATTGTGGCTATATGAGGTCTCAGGCACTGTAATGTCTATTGTAGGTCTCTAGGGCTATTGTGGCTATATGAGGTCTCCAGGCACTGTAATGTCTATTGTAGGTCTCCAGGGGCTATTGTGGCTATATGAGGTCTCCAGGCACTGTAATGTCTATTGTAGGTCTCCAGGGGCTATTGTGGCTATATGAGGTCTCCAGGCACTGTAATGTCTATTGTAGGTCTCCAGGGGCCATTGTGGCTATATGAGGTCTTCAGGCACTGTAATGTCTATTGTGGCTATATAGGAGGTCTCTGTCCATTGTAGGTCTCCAAGGGCCATTGTTGCTATATGGAGTCTCCAGTCACTGGTAATGGCTATGTAGGGTCTCCAGGCACTGTCATGTCTATTGTAGGTCTCCAGGGGCCATTCAGGGTCTCCAGTCACTGTAATGGCTATGTAAGGTCTCCAGTCACTGTAATGGGTATATGAAGCGTCCAGTCACTGTAATGGCTATGTAGGGTCTCCAGTCACTGTAATGGCTATACTGGGTCTCCAGTCACTGTGACCCATGTAGGTCCGGGTTAGAATATTGATCTTCAATAACCCATGCTTGTCGTAAGAGGCGACTAACGGGATCGAGTTGTCAGGCTCGCTGACTTGGTTGACACATGTCATCGGTTCCCAATTGGGCAGATCGATGCTCATGTTGGTGATCACTGAATTGTCTGGTCCAGACTCGATTATTTACAGACCGCCACCATATAGCTGGAATATTGCTGAGTGCGGCGTAAAACTGAGCTCACTCACTCACTCCAGTCACTGTAATTGGGGGACTGGTGTCCCTGTCATGATATTGCTGGAATATTGCTAAATGCGGCACATACCCACACTCACTCGCTCAGTGTAATGTCTGTACAGTGCCTCCATTCACTGTTACAGCTTTTTGAGGTCCCTAGGTTTCGTTATGGCTGTTTGGGGTCTTCAGTTGCTGTAGGGGCATATAGTCTACAGTTGCTTACAGTCAGGGCCCGTTCCTCAAAAGCGATCGTAGCGCTCAGTCTGTCGTAAGTCTATGTTAGAGTATGGGAGTTACGATCATCTTAGCGCTACGATCGCTTTGAGGAACGGGGCCCTGGTCATTTAGGCAAGTACAGCTCCTCATCTGAGGGTCAATGTCTTGTTTACGTTACAAGTGGATGCTGTAGACTTTACACGTGGTGTGTCTTCCTGTTCACTTGTTATGCTAAAATTGTGAAACTGTGTTTGTTGCAGAGGGACCAACCATTGAAAGTTGACAACTTGTTTGAAGAGATTAAAGATGGAGTGGCGCTTCTGTGTCTACTGGAGGTGCTATCAGGGGAGAAACTGGTGTGTATTGAGTGTGCCATCTTGTCTCCAACCCTCCAACAATGTATGCCTGAGCCATGTGACACTGTGGTAACTGAAACACTTAGGAAACATAACAAAGCACAAGATGTGTCTCAAATACCTCGCTTAGCAGCTGGGCATGGTTGTAATCATTAAACCTTCAACATTGAAGACCACTTCAAATTCCCCAGACTGACACTGTATGTTTTGCAGATCTGACTAGATGTCCCATAACTGATATTGCTGGAATACTAGATGTGTCTCAAAACTCCAGTACGTCAGTCGCTTAGCAGCTAAGCATGCTTGTAATCATTAAACCTTCAAATTGTGTTCCACTTCAAATCCAGACTGAACCTTATTTTGCAGATATCTGACTAGATGTCCCATAATACATCTTACTAGATGTGTCTCAGTGTCCCATAATACATCTGACTAGATGTGTCTCAGTGTCCCATAATACATCTGACTAGATGTGTCTCAGTGTCCCATAATACATCTGACTAGATGTGTCTCAGTGTCCCGTAATACATCTGACAAGATGTGTCTCAGTGTCCCATAATACATCTGACTAGATGTGTCTCAGTGTCCCATAATACATCTGACAAGATGTGTCTCAGTGTCCCGTAATACATCTGACAAGATGTGTCCCAGTGTCTGCTAGTGGGAGACCAGTGCAATAATGACCGTTCATGACACGTAGCAGAGGATTACTGTAACTGGTTAGGCATGTAAACAGGGTAAAGGCATGTTTATTGTTAGTGTATGCCGCAACAAAGAGAGGCTTGTATGCCTGAGTGAACTGTTGGTTTTATGTAAGAGAGAGTCAACTGACAAATGGATTAGAGTTATGAAGATACTGACATGTATTGACAAAGTAGCCTCCATACTACATGTACAGGCCCTGCTGTGTAACTGAAGGATTAAACTCAGGTTATTGATGTCAGTGTGTTTCACGGATATGGGACTCATACTTATTATAAGAATTGATCAGGTTTGGGTGTCCGATCTACCTCCTAGTTACTGGGTTTCCCAGCCCAGACTCAAAATGCTTCATGGACATAATGAATTAATGGGTGAGCATGAATTTCATTGTGCTGGTAGACAAACCAAAACCACTTACACAGGTATGCATACAACAAGCATATGCTCACAAACACATGCACACATTTTTCAGTGTCAGTGTGCAGTTATTTTGCTGCTTGAAACAGGCAGATACCTGTCTGTTCCTACTTACAGAAACTTTGGCTGGCAAATTAGATGTAGTGATATTTTAATCAGGTATTTGGTAGTCAATAAGACTTGTCCTCCGCATGATGCCTGGAAGATGGTGGAATGATTGAGTGTTCCAGGACTGTAAGTGTCACCTAGTTACAGTAATTACTGATGTGGGGAGACATTAGCAGACAAGCAGATTAATCAATGAAGGGACACAGTCTCCTTCAGTCATTTAATTATTAAATGTCCCAGAGATGGTTTCCCGCCCTGGAGAAGACAGGTCTTATCTCGTCACTGCTGTGGCGGCTGGGTACGTGGTGTGGGGCGATCTGTCAGATAGTCTACAGCACCCGGGCCACATACCTGGATTTCCACCACTCTCCTGCAGACAACTGGAAACCAGATAGCAGACATTGTTTTGTGTGGCATGAAATCACTGAGATTTAGTGTGCATGGAGTGGGTTGGCACGTTGCCAGAGGCCAGATTGAGAGGGGTACATAATCACGTAGAGAAACTTGATCTCTGATATCAGGTCCATGGCTATTGATTGTGACAAATCACGACTCACTTCACTTCATTCCAGCTCCCCCACCACCTCGTCCCGCTCAGGTTTAATCACATACCCCCACCTGCCCATTCCAACCAAATGACCGACTTAAGGGGGATTAATGATTGTTCTGATAACCCCATTCTGTGTTCAGTAAACTGTCTACCTTTTATGTGTAATATATATTGTGTTCAGTACACCATCTACCTTATGTTCAATAAACCATCCACCTTGTGTGTACTATAACTTGTGTTCAACAAACCATCCACCTTGTGTGTACTATAACTTGTGTTCAATAAACCATTCACCTTGTGTGTATTATAACCTTGGGAGATGCAGATATAACTTGTTAAATCAGTCCAATGTGTTTCTTACTCTATTAGAATTACATGCTTTCTTTTCGTGACTTATGAGTTGTTAGATTGTTTGATAATAGAATCCATAGAAACACTTGTGTGTAGTTTAGTTTCAAGGACACAGTGTAGAAGTAATGGCAGTACCACAAGGTTAGCGTTGACTAATCTCTCCAGTGATATGCACCTCAAGGTCAAACATGGCCAGGTCTCTTACTGAGTTGGTTCCAAGTTGCAAGTTATATTTTACAGCGGACATGATTTTCAGTATATGCTATCTCAAATGTTGTTGCCATGGTTTTATGTGTATATGTATGTGTTGGATATTCTTGTGTAGGTATATGACCTTGCCTTGAGCACATACACAGGAATACATGGACCTGTTGATGGTGGTCTTCTAGCTGGAGTTCAGATAAACCATGCCTAGGTTATTATGTAATGAAAAAGTCCTGAGAATCTGTCCTGATTTGTTTTATTAAAGGTCACATGCAACGTAAAACCACAACTTTGCAGATTCTGATACCTTCGGTATGGACTTACGAAACAAAGCGTCATAAAATGCAAATTCAACTTATAAAGTTGAAAAATAGCGATGAAAAAAAGCATGCGAAATCGGAGTTCAAGCGTTTCACTAATTTTTTAAGCCCGACTTTTCTGGGGAATACGGGTTTCAACAGCTGGGCTCGGCTCGCTATGCGATCGCGCGAGTGAAATGGGTTAAAGCGCAACTTGGGCGGGCTGTCACAAGTGAATACTTTCGGAGAAGGCTTTAGTTTGAGCTATTTTCATAATGTTTTGTTGATATCTCACAGGCACGAGAGCTTTTTATATGTTATGACAGTAAATAAACTGTTTATATAATTTCATTTGTCTATTTCACCACCACGTTCTTCTTGCGAATCACTTTCTCAGTTAGATGCCAAAGCAATGTCATTATTTAGCGTTGACACAATTTCTAACTGTGATATAGATATCAATAGCTGTCTGAATAAAACTCAATGTCTTGTTTATTGACACCTGTGTGTCACTGCCTGCCTGTCTGCTAATGACAATATTCAATACACAACTGCGATCACTGACCACATGCAATTTGAACTTAACACCAATCAGGCTATACACCATAAACAAAGCGCGCCATTGATTTATGGCCCACGAAGTTAGAGTCTCTGTCACATTATGTAATTACACAGACAGGCAGGTGTGATACTTGAACACATGACATGTTATGATGTCTGTTGATTGCAAAATGTTATACACAAAAATGAGCATGTATTTACAAAACCCAACATCTCTATATACACACACAATGAGCGTGAAGGCAGCATCTGCTAATGAACCAGCCGTTACACTTGAGTGCACACCCACCAGCTCTGACTGGGTTGGTATCCCGGCTGCAAGCCGTTTGAGGGAGGTAAACCCAAGTACAAAATATTGCACTTTTTGATTTGCGATTATCGCGGCTTATAATTTTGTTAATATGTTTTTCATAATCAGCAATGCATATTATATGTCATGAAGAAGTGATAACTGTGTTTTAATTATGTTTGATTTTTTGGTAGACATGTTGCGATTCACATGCATATTTGGTGAATCAAATCGAAGTATGGCGTACACCGCAACCCATTGAATTCAAGTCTTTAATCATGGTCACTAGAATCAAATATTTAAGAGTATTTTTAAAGAGAAATTGTTTTTACTTGGGACTAGTTTGTTTTATCCCCGGCATCTAATGCGGAGGGATATAGTCCCCTCGTCCGTCCGTCCAATCAATCATTTTGTTTCAGAGCATAACTCAAAAACCGTGCAATATTTTTTCAACAAAACTTGGTAGATATATCAAACAGAACCTTAAGTGGTGCCTTTTGCTATTTGCAGATTTTTGGCATTTTTATTTTTCCCGGTTTCCATGGAAACGATTAGGACTTAGCCCCAAAAGGGAGGGGTGGGCTTCATTTCCGGTGCACAACTCGAAAAGCGTTCAGTATCTTTTAACAGAACTTGGCAGATATATTAGGCAAATTTTGAAATGGTGCCTTTTTTGCTATTTACAGATATTTGGCATTTATATTTCTCATGATTTCCATGGAAACGATTTGGACATAGTTTAGAAAAAAGTCAAGCTGGACTTTAAGTAACTGTCAGATGATTTGTTTTTTAAAATATGTGGGGGCCGGGGGCATATGTCATCTTCTGATGACTCTTGTTTATCTTAATGAGTTGTGCAAAATACAGTAGCATAACTTGTTTCATTTTGCCAAGGCCCCTTACAGCACTGTCAGTAGCATAACTTGTTTCATTTTGCCAAGGCCCCTTACAGCACTGTCAGTAGCATAACTTGTTTCATTTTGCCAAGGCCCCTTACAGCACTGTCAGTAGCATAACTTGTTTCATTTTGCCAAGGCCCCTTACAGCACTGTCAGTAGCATAACTTGTTTCATTTTGCCAAGGCCCCTTACAGCACTGTCAGTAGCATAACTTGTTTTTCATTTTGAGCAAGGCTGGCGCCCACAGCAGTGTCAGTAGCATAACTTGTTTCATTTTGCCAAGGCCCCTTACAGCAGTGTCAGTAGCATAACTTGTTTCATTTTGCCAAGGCCCCTTACAGCAGTGTCAGTAGCATAACTTGTTTCCTTGTTTCATTTTGTTTCATTTTGCCAAGGCCCCTTACAGCAGTGTCAGTAGCATAACTTGTTTCATTTTGCCAAGGCCCCTTACAGCAGTGTCAGTAGCATAACTTGTTTCATTTTGCCAAGGCCCCTTACAGCAGTGTCAGTAGCATAACTTGTTTCATTTTGAGCATAACTTGGCCAAGGCCCCTTACAGCAGCTGTCAGTAGCATACCTTGTTTCATTTTGACCAAGGCCCCTTACAGCAGTGTCAGTAGCATAACTTGTTTCATTTTGCCAAGGCCCCTTACAGCAGTGTCAGTAGCATAACTTGTTTCATTTTGCCAAGGCCCCTTACAGCAGTGTCAGTAGCATAACTTGTTTCATTTTGCCAAGGCCCCTTACAGCAGTGTCAGTAGCATAACTTGTTTCATTTTGCCAAGGCCCCTTACAGCAGTGTCAGTAGCATAACTTGTTTCATTTTGCCAAGGCCCCTTACAGCAGTGTCAGTAGCATAACTTGTTTCATTTTGACAAAGGGCCCCTTACAGCACTGTCAGTGTAGCATAACCTTGTTTCATTTTGCCAAGGCCCCTTACAGCAGTGTCAGTAGCATAACTTGTTTCATTTTGCCAAGGCCCCATAACAGCCACAGCGGTGTCAGTAGCATAACTTGTTTCATTTTGACCAAGGCCCTTACAGCATTTTGTGTCAGTAGCATAACTTGTTTCATTTTGCCAAGGCCCCTTAGCAGCAGTGTCAGTAGCATGACTTGTTTCATTTTGATGAAGCCCTTTACAGCAGTGTCAGTAAGCATAACTTGTTTCATTTTGCCAAAGGCCCCTTACAGCAGTGTCAGCGCATAACTTGTTTCATTTTGACAAGGCCCTTGTTTACAGCAGTGTCAGTAGCATAACTTGTTTCATTTTGTCAAGTAGCATAACTTGGCCCCTTACAGCAGTGTCGGTAGCATAACTTGTTTCATTTTGACAAGGCCCCTTACAGCAGTGTCAGTGGCATAACTTGTTTCATTTTTTGCCAGCATGTCAGTAGCATAACTTGTTTCATTTGCCGGCGGTGTCAATAGCATAACTTGTTTCATTTTGACAAGGCGCCTTACAGCACTGTCAGTAGCATAACTTGTTTCATTTTGGCCCCTTACAGCACTGTCAGTAGCCCATTTACAGCACTGTCAGTAGCATAACTTGTTTCATTTTGCCAAGGCTTACAGCAGTGTCAGTAGCATAACTTGTTTACAGCAGTGTCAGTAGCATAACTTGTTTCATTTTGACAAGGCCCTTACCCTTAGCTTGTTTCATTTTGCCAAGCGTTACAGCAGCAGTGTCAGTAAGCATAACTTGTTTCATTTTGACAAAGCCCCTTACAGCATTTTGCCAAGGCCCCTTACAGTGTCAGTAGCATAACTTGTTTCATTTTGCTTATAAGGCCCCTTACAGCAGTGTCAGTAGCATAACTTGTTTCATTTTGCCAAGGCGAGTGTCCATAACTTCACAGAAGCAGCAGTGTCAGTAGCATAACTTGTTTCATTTTGACAAGGCCCTTACAGCGGTGTCAGTAGCATAACTTGTTTCATTTTGCTACAAAGTGTCCCTTGTTTACAGCAGTGTCAGTAGCATAACTTGTTTCATTTTGCCAAGGGCCCTTAGCAGCAGTGTCAGTAGCATAACTTGTTTCATTTTGCCAAGGCCCCTTACAGCAGTGTCGAGTAGTAGCTTGTTTCAGCAATAACTTGTTTCACTTTTTGACAAGGCCCTTTACAGCAGTGTCAGTAGCATAACTTGTTTCATTTTGCCAAGGCCCCTTACAGCAGTGTCAGTAGCATAACTTGTTTCATTTTGCCAAGGCCCCTTACAGCAGTGTCAGTAGCATAACTTGTTTCATTTTGCCAAGGCCCCTTACAGCAGTGTCAGTAGCATAACTTGTTTCATTTTGCCAAGGCCCCTTACAGCAGTGTCAGTAGCATAACTTGTTTCATTTTGCCAAGGCCCCTTACAGCAGTGTCAGTAGGCCTAAGTGGCATTGTTTGCAGTATAGAACTTCATGTTTTGCAGAAAATGTCATTGAAATATTTCAACCAAGCAACTACATGACATATTTGTTATTTTCATTCCTTTGAACATAAAGTATTCATGAATAAATGTTCGTATTGTTACTATATAATCACAAACCTCATATTTGCCTCTTGGTGTATTTGTTGCAGCCAAAACTTTCTTTATGATTGATCTTATAATGGCGTACATCTGCTTCAGCTTTACTTGTTTAAATCAGTTTCTGTCTTGGAATCAAATGCAATAACAATAGCGCGACATAATGCTAATGGTCTTATTCATTTAGAAGACATTGAAGCAGTATTCAGGATTGACCAAAGTCTGATTGAGATGATGATAAGTAGTACTCCACTGGCATCGTTGCTGTAACTGCTCCTAATTTGTTTCATTAGTCCTCAGGACTACTCTTAAGTGAAGGGCCAGAGCATCTGCTCCACCCATCATTATGCCAGGTTATATATAGGACAATACAGTGGGCCAGGGCACAATGAGTCACAGAATGTCATACTTCGCCCATATTAGAACTTCCTTCTTTTGTGTCACTGGAAAATAATAATAATCACTTAAAATAGAATTGTGAAAATTGTAGAATAACTAGGCTACATCATGAACAGTGTATCAAGATGAAAGATGCAAAATAGTGGATAGAAAAGCACAAAGAGATTACTGCTGAATACTCCCCTACTTTCCTACTAGTTTGGAAGGAACACTTAAATTCATTCTGAACACATTTGTCAACCATCTTGTAACCAGATATGTATATTTGTGATGTATCTACAGAAACCAGTGTCCTGTATGTGTCATGTATCCATAGCAACCTTTGACCTGCACATGCGATCTATGTATTCATGTATCTATGGCAGCCAGTACCCCATATGTGTGATGTATCTATGGCCACCAGTGTGCTGTATGTAAGATGTATCTATGGCCACCAGTGTCCAGTATGTAAGATGTATCTATGGCCACCAGGGTCCTGTATGTAAGATGTATCTATGGCAACCAGTGTATTATATGTGTGATGTATCTATGGCAACCAGTGTATTATATGTGTGATGTATCTATGGCCACCAGTGTCCTGTATGTAAGATGTATCTATGGCAACCAGTGTCTTGTGTGTAAGATGTATCTATGCCCCCCAGTGCCCTGTATGTAAGATGTATCCATGGCAACCAGTGTATGATATGTGTGATGTATCCATGGCAACCAGTGCCCTGTACATGTGTCTGCTTCTGTTCCAGCCAATGGAGAAAGGTCCCCGTCTCAAGCGACCACATCATCTCAGCAACATTTCCACAGCATTATCATTCCTCACGAAGAAAAATGTGAGTTGCTGTTGCCATGACAATATATCTGCCTGTTTTGTACCTCACCTTGATTAAACATTACAGTGTCTTAATTAGCTACATCTTCTACCTCGGTGTGAGTGAAAGAATGTCACAATGTCACCTGGCTTGTATTTATCTGTCTTCAGATCAAAATGGTTAATATCAACTCCACTGACATCGCAGATGGGAAGCCTTCCATTGTCCTGGGTCTCATCTGGACCATCATCCTGTACTTCCAGGTTTGTTGTGGAGATTTCAGGTTAGAGTAGGTCTCCCGTGACCTGTGCTGGTGGTGACAAGTGACCAAATATGGTGACATGTTGACTGCATATTATTGTACGCCAATGACATGCATCATTGCTCACAGTCATTGGATTGTTTGGTCCAGACTTGATTATTTAGAGGCTGTTGTCATATGGCTGGAATATTCCCAGCAACCCTACAGTCCCCCCACTAGGTGTGTAACCATGGTAATTATAGACACTGTGACCCAGAAGTGCTACTGGAAATGGCTGCTGGCTTTTGGTAATATTTTGAAATTTTCCTGACTCTCTGGTTAGGGGCACTGACAAAGATGTTGAATAACTCCTTTGTTAGGTTGGATGCTGAAGGGTTCGAGGGTGGTGTTGAATGTTATTCCGCTGATCACATGTTCATGTCTGTGCAGATTGAAGAGACAATGTCCAATGTGCCAACTATGGGAGACATGGACGGTGATGGGCCGTCCAAAAAGAAGAAACCTACACTGCCGAAACAGAGCCTACTGGCTTGGGCAGACAGCGTACTAGCCAAGTAAGTGGATGCCCCCTGGCAGACACACCTGCAGACATCACACTGGCAGACACACCTGCAGACATCACACTGGCAGACACACCTGCAGACATCACACTGGCAGACACTCCTGCAGACATCACACTGGCAGACACACCTGCAGACACCTCACTGGCAGACATCACACTGGCAGACACACCTGCAGACATCACACTGGCGGACACTCCTGCAGACATCACACTGGCAGACACACCTGCAGACATCACACTGGCAGACACTCCTGCAGACATCACACTGGCAGACACACCTGCAGACATCACACTGGCAGACACACCTGCAGACATCACACTGGCAGACACTCCTGCAGACATCACACTGGCAGACACTCCTGCAGACATCACACTGGCAGACACACCTGCAGACATCACACTGGCAGACACACCTGCAGACATCACACTGGCAGACACACCTGCAGACATCACACTGGCAGACACACCTGCAGACATCACACTGGCAGACATCACACTGGCAGACACACCTGCAGACATCACACTGGCAGACACACCTGCAGACATCACACTGGCAGACACTCCTGCAGACATCACACTGGCAGACACACCTGCAGACATCACACTGGCAGACACTCCTGCAGACATCACACTGGCAGACACACCTGCAGACATCACACTGGCAGACACTCCTGCAGACATCACACTGGCAGACTCTCCTGCAGACATCACACTGGCAGACACACCTGCAGACATCACACTGGCAGACACTCCTGCAGACATCACACTGGCAGACACACCTGCAGACATCACACTGGCAGACGCTCCTGCAGACATCACACTGGCAGACACACCTGCAGACATCACACTGGCAGTCTCTCCTGCAGACATCACACTGGCAGGCACTCCTGCAGACATCACACTGGCAGACACTCCTGCAGACATCACACTGGCAGACACTCCTGCAGACATCACACTGGCAGACATCACGCTGACAGACACTCCTGCAGACATCACACTGGCAGACACACCTGCAGACATCACACTGGCAGACACACCTGCAGACATCACACTGGCAGACACCTGCAGACATCACACTGGCAGACACACCTGCAGACATCACACTGGCAGACACTCCTGCAGACATCACACTGGCAGACACTACACCTGCAGACATCACACTGGCAGACACACCTGCAGACATCACACTGGCAGACACACCTGCAGACATCACACTGGCAGACACACCTGCAGACATCACACTGGCAGACATCACCTGCAGACATCACACCTGCAGACATCACACTGGCAGACACACCTGCAGACATCACACTGGCAGACATCACACTGGCAGACACCTGCAGACATCACACTGGCAGACACACCTGCAGACATCACGCTGGCAGACACACCTGCAGACATCACACTGGCAGACACTCCTGCAGACATCACACCTGCAGACATCACTCCTGCAGACATCACACCTGCAGACACACCTGCACATACAGCTGTAAACAGCAGAATCATAACGACAATGATGATCACGGTTGTGATCAGATGGAAATGGCAACATTTAGGTGACGTCTTATTGAGTACATCATATTGATGATAAAGCATCTACTGTCATTGATGGGAGTTGCTGTTACAGAAATAATGTTCACAGCATATATTGACTTGATGGGTAGGCAACTAAGAACTTCTGACAGGTATTCTACATCATGTTTGGTGGAATGTTGGTGGTGAATGTCGTTGTGAAGTGGGAGTGGTGACGAGATTTATGTCTGTGTATTCATTGCAGGAAATATGGTCTGAAGGTCACAGACTTTGGGAAGAGCTGGAGAGATGGAGTGGCCTTCAATGCAATGATCCACAATATCCGCCCTGACCTGGTGGATATGGAGGAAATTCGCAAGCAAAATGCCCGCATCAACCTGGAGCACGCCTTCTCCACAGCTGAGAATGAGCTGGGCATTCCGCGACTGCTTGACCCTGAAGGTCAGACACTTGTCACATCACAGGACACTTGTAGTGCCACAAGACATTGCATGTTATGATGGGATTTTCAGATAATTTCAATCATTAATTCTGATTTGTAGGTTATTCTCTGCATTTTAGTCTGATTAATCTCACTGAGATTTGCTGAAAGTTATTGCAGTGATGTATTTGTCCATTATTTGCGGTTCCAGATGTTGATGTGGAGAAGCCCGATGAGAAATCTCTGATGACGTATGTGGCCACCATCCTGAAGGCTTACCCTGAGGCTGGAGATGCCAATGTGAGTAGCTGTCTACAATACCATACCTTGTTCACCACAAATGTACAGATATACAAACTATATACTACTGTAGGAAGTTATGAGAAAAGAAAGTTTCTTCAAGAAGACACATTAAAGTGACATGGCAGCTTGTTGTCACAGTTGTCGTCAACACAAACTAGCTGTCATGGTTCTCATCCACACAAACTAGCTGTCATGGTTCTCATCTACAAAAACTAGCTGTCATGGTTCTCATTCACACAAACTAGCTGTCATGGTTCTCATCCACACAAACTAGCTGTCATGGTTCTCATCCACACAAACTAGCTGTCATGGTTCTCATCCACACACGTCACGCTGTCACATTTTTGTCACGATTCTCACAGATAACATGTTACTTTGCATATTGATGGAGATATGTGTGGCAAGAATCAGATAGTGTCCTCCTCATGAGCCTGCTTGCTTTATGTTCCAGTTCCAGGGCGTCCCGAGTCTAAAGCTGGACACAGCTGACCAGGAGATGCAGGCATACAGCGCCCTGATGAACTGGCTGAACCAGGACGCCAAGGACGTCCTGGACAGAGCAGCCCAGCAGCCTGTCTCTGACAGACAGGCAGAACTCAAGGTACCGCGCTACAGCTTTTTGTTGACCTCAGGTTCCAAAACAATTGACAAGATGTCCATCAGTTGGCAACCCACAAAAGTTTGTAACAGTGTAAACACCTGAATAACATGCTCTGTGTTAAACACAGAGGAAAGTTTATTGGAGGTGACACTGACTGGCATTGACACAAGTTAGGGAGCTGACTGGGCCTTGAGAGGAACCAAGTATCTGAATTTTTGTTTTCTTTTATTGTTTCAGGAATATTTGCTTTTCAAATCTGAGATGGACAAGCGAGAACCAGTTTACAAGAAGATTGGCGAGAAAGTTTTGTCAGGGAAAGCTGCTAAGCTGAACATGTCTGACTGGCAGAAGCTGGACACAAAGTGGCGCGAGGCAGAGGACTTGACCCAGCTGGCTGCTGAAGCTGGACCTCAGTTTGCCTGGCCGCCTTGGTCAGTTTGGTCAGTGGCTGTACAACGCCGAGCGTCTGCTGGAGAAGAGGGAACAGCAGGTGGATGAAGCAGAGGAGATGGCTGTGCAGATGGGCAACTTGTTAGGCGAACACAAAGTATTTTTTAAAGACTTAGAATCACAGAAACAGTTCTTCCAACAAATTAAGAAAGCAGGACGCTATGAGGGTGAGTCTCTACACCCGCCTCATATGGACTTACTTCATAAGCGGATGGTGAATGTGGAGAAATGTGCCCCGAGAAGACAGCGCCGCTTGGAGTACTTGGAAGTGCGGTATCTCCTACTGGCATACTTACTGGCAGCTGAAGAAAAGGCAGCACTGTGGACAGTAAAATATGGGCGGCTGGAGGAGGTGGAAGCCATGTCAGAAGATTACCAGGTCAGTGAAAGGGAGTGTGGTATTCCTTGAACATCAGGTTAGGTCAGTGATGAAAGGAAAGATTATTGGGTTGTTCTAACAAAGTTTATGAATGATCATGATTGTATGATTCAGACAAATCTTTTCCTTTGCAGGATTTTGTTGTGAATGGGCAGCTGTTTGACAACTACAAGAAGACCCATGATGACACCAAGAAGAAGGCAGACGCTTACAAGAACAATGGCGGAGGTGAGTTGCTGAGGATTGGTTGGACCTGGATGTAACCACAGCCTGATGCTGATTCATGCTTCTATACCTCATGGGTTTCTTATTTCATCTAGAATTTGTCTTCAGTAACCCATGATTGTCGTAAGAGGTGACCAACGGGATTGGGTGGTCAGGCTCACTGACTGGTTTGACACATGTCATTGTATCCCAATTGCGTAGATTGATGCTGATGCTGTTGATCCCTGGATTGTCTGGTCCAGACTTGATTATTTACTGACCACCGCCACATAGCTGGAATATATGCTCAGTGCGGTGTAAAACTAAACTCACTCACTCACTATTTTATCTACTGTTCCATTGTTCAAGTTAAACACTGCATGTTCATCTCTTTCCAGATCAAATTGAAGTCAATGACTTGACAAAATTCCTTGGCAATGTGACCGAACGGTGGCAGAAGACATCAGGGGAGATCCGCAGTGTAGGGAAGAGTCTTGAGGAAGTCCAGGATGCATGGAAGATGTTCAACAGCTGCGCAGAGGTGCTGACCGTGTGGCTGACGGAAGGCGAGAAGATCATGCAGAGGTCGCCTGAGGAGAAGCAGGTCAGGGTGCATGATGTCTTGATTCTATCACCATTACTGCATGTCTAGAGCAGATTATATTGTTTTTACCATGCTTCCGTCATACAATGGAATATTCCTACTGCAGTGCATAACAGCATCCACACAGTGACAGGAAGATTGGGGATTCCTGCTGGGACTATAGCACCCTAGTATGAAGTAACTAATTAGATTAGGGGATCAGGCTCACTTAATGGACTGTATGTCATTGCAGCTCAGTTCTTTGGATGGTTATCTCCCATTAGTTAGACAGCCAGTTGTGTGGATGGTTATCTCCCATTAGTTAGACAGCCAGTTGTGTGGGTGGTTATCTCCCATTAGTTAGACAGCCATTAGTTAAACAGCCTGTTGTTAAACAGCCATTAGATAGACAGCCAGCTGTTAGACAGTGGATTAGGGTGTTAATCCAATGTTCTTGACATCAATCACTGGATTATATGGTCCAGACTGAATTATGTACAGACTACTATCATGTATATATAATATTGCTGATAATTGCGTTAAACAAGCACAATTACTAATATCATTGCTAATCGTTACTAGCATCTTGGTGAGATTCATCCATTTCATGACTATCCAACAGCTTTACTTTGAGGACATGGCTGAGTACGAGCAAAGGCACCAGTCACTGAACCAGAGTGGAAACTTCCTGATGGAAACAACCCGGCCTGAGGTGGCGGAGGAGGTGAGGCAGACGCTGGCCCTGCTGAACCGGCGCCAGACAGAGCTCACCGATAGCTTCACCAACTTCCAGCAGGTGGAGGTGATTGGCAGGGCTCGCAATGAGTACTCAGAGGGCATCCACCAGATCAAGGGCTGGCTACAGAATACAGATGAAATAGTGGGGCCACAGATTCCATGTGTACACGCTGCCCTGAAGGAACACTTGCAGCAGCTTGATGTAAGTTACTCGTTTCACAAACCCCTACCCCTCTTCCCTCCCACAGGTAACTAACATGCAGAGGTAGAACTGACAGGCTGTCCTTAGCAGCTGACTCACAGACTCTCGAACTGTCATGACCCTCATAGACATGATGTGGTTAACACTTTCTTCTTCATTCCAAGAATAGGGTATATGTTTGACTAAAATAAAAACCAAATTGATTCAAACTATCAGAAAGTTGTCTTCTCATTTATTCTGAGAAGATGATTTCAGTTTCTCCTGCAGCAGTAAGCTGTTCAATATCTCCCTCATGGATTATTGGACTTTGTTTTGCAGGTGCTTGGCTCCCAAGTGGCGGAGATTGAGGCTGTGTTCAAGACAACAACAAAGATGGCACAATCCTTGGTAAAGGACAGCTCCTCGGATGTAGTCAATGACATGTTGAAGACACTCAACGATCAAAAGGAAATCATTCTGAAGCTGAGGAAGGAGCTCCCTGACCGGAGCAAGGCACTCAAGGCCATCCTGCCCAATGTGGAGTCTCTGGAGACTGGCATCACTGATCTGAACTGCTGGCTGGAGCAGGGAGAACAACTTCTGCAGACTCACAGACTGGACGGGTCAGGAGAGGCTACTGAAGCCAGGCTAGAGAAGCACAAGGCATATTTCTCAGAGATCACCTACCAAAAATCTATTCTTGAAAGCAAGAACAAAGTATATAACAAAGTGAACAATGCCAAGAGTAAACTGAAGTCGGTGGACTTCACTCCAGCAGATGAACTTATGAAATCAGTAAATATGAGATTCCAGAACTGTGTCACATCTGCTAAAAATTGGGAGAAGCGTCTTGAGAATCTTGCACGATTGTGGCGCTTGCTTCAGCAGAAGCAGAATGCCTTGTCTGAGTGGATGGACAATGCAGAGACTGTGTTGGAAGATAAGGAGGATGACCCGGAGAGCCTCATTCGCAAACATAAACTGTTCTTTGACAGAGTAAACCAGCGAATGCTGCAGGACTACCTGAGTGTCGGGGAGGAGATTCTTGTACAGCTGGAGGAGCAGGACAAGGCCCGGGCTGAGAATAGAGATGACAGCAATAGAGAACCGGTGGAAGGTAAGGGACAGGTGGAGTGAGTTAGTGAGTGAGTTTGGTTTTATGCCACAGCTATATGGTGGTGCCTTGGGTGGAGGAAGGAATGTCGTTGCGAAGAGAGACGGGAATGGTGTGTGAGGATAAAGGAACAGAGATCGACAGTGTAGGCTCTGTTGGAAAACCTTCCTTGTGTTGTTCTGCCCTGTACAGGTCCCTGTAACTGTGCTTGTACTCAACTAGGTACATATCTACTTTTTGTATGGAAGTACCTTGTCATTGATCAAGAGGCCAGTCCACCAAGTCTAGACCAGTTCTGACATATGGTTAATAATATGAAACCAAAACATATAGATACCTTTTCCTTGTGTTTCAGAATATACACTACCATGCACCAATTAAACTGCTCAAGCTGGAGTTTGCAGTTCCAGAGGACAAATTTCTCCAGAGGTTGACATCGGCAGAGAAATCCATCAAACAACACCAGGAACAGCTGGCTCGAAATCAGGATGTCAAGGCCGCTTTGCTTAAACACAGAGTAAGTGATGCCTGTGTCTGTTGTGTACAGTTAGTGATGCCTGTGTCTATTGTGTGCAGTAAGTGATGCCTGTGTCTATTGTGTGCAGTTAGTGATGCCTGTGTCTATTGTGTGCAGTTAGTGATGCCTGTGTCTATTGTGTGCAGTTAGTGATGCCTGTGTCTATTGTGTGCAGTAAGTGATGCCTGTGTCTATTGTGTGCAGTTAGTGATGCCTGTGTCTATTGTGTGCAGTTAGTGATGCCTGTGTCTATTGTGTGCAGTAAGTGATGCCTGTGTCTATTGTGTGCAGTAAGTGATGCCTGTGTCTAGTGATGCCTGTGCAGTTAGTGATGCCTGTGTCTATTGTGTGCAGTTAGTGATGCCTGTGTCTATTGTGTGCAGTTAGTGATGTGTGCAGTTAGTGATGCCTGTGTGTGTGTGTTATTGTGTGCAGTTAGTGATGCCTGTGTCTATTGTGTGCAGTTAGTGATGCCTGTGTCTATTGTGTGCAGTTAGTGATGCCTGTGTCTATTGTGTGCAGTTAGTGATGCCTGTGTCTATTGTGTACAGTAAGTGATGCCTGTTTCTATTGTGTGCAGCAACTGTTCCACGAGAGTGACCTAGTCCCCACCTGTGAGAAGTGCCTAGGCAGCATGGACTCCATATCTAAACACCTGCTGGAGCTGTCCCAGGACGAACGCAGCTTGAGGAACCGGTACGATGACCACCTTCAGCGGTGGAAACGTCTCCACTCCATCTCAGACAACACCCACGAGCAGCTGAAGCAGCTCCCTCAACGATGGAAGGACTACAACACAAAGTGAGTGTGATTGGTAGAGGGAGAGTTAGGGTTACCTCTAATGTGGTGTCTCTGGGTGGATACATGTGGAGCGTACATGTGTAACATACATTGGAAGGTAAATGTTGCCTAACACACACTGCTTGCTTGGCTGTGACAGGTTGGGTGAAGTGAGTCGCTGGATCATGGATGTGGAAGGACTTATGAAGGAGATGCAGAAGGAGGACCTCACCAGTGATGAGTACAAGGAGATGCTTGCCCAGTTCCAGGTACGTGTATGGGGAAATCAGTGGATGTGTGGGATAGTGGGGGTGGATGAGCTGGATAGTTAGTGGGGGTGGATGTGTGGGATAGTTTGGGTGGATGTGTGGGATAGTGGGGGTGGATGTGTGGGATATTTAGGGTGGATGTACGGGATAGTGGGGATGGATATATGGGATAGTTTGGGTGGATGTATGGGATAGTGGGGGTGGATATATGGGATAGTTAGGGTGGATGTATGGGATAGTTAGGGTGGATGTGCACTGGGATAGTGGGGGATGTGTGGGATAGTTAGGGTGGATGCTGGGATAGTGGGGATGTGTGGGATAGTTTGGGTGGATGTACTGGATAGTGGGGTGGATGTGTGGGATATTTAGGGTGGATGTACGGGATAGTGGGGGTGGATGTGTGGGATATTTAGGGTGGATGTACGGGATAGTGGGGGGGATAATTAGGGTGGATGTATTGTATTGTATGGGTAGCACGTGGAATTATGGGTGGATGCATGGGGATAAAAGAACATGGCAGAGTGATGCGCAGAGTGTTTGGTTGCCATTGTTGAGGATGGGATTTCCGGAAGTTCGAAGTATTGTTGAAATTATATATATTCCTCCACAGTAACATTGCACCAGTTTTTGAAACTGTATTGTGAAAACCTGTTTTACCTACCTGTTGTTAATGAGTCTCATGAGCTGTGTTATATAACAGTACAATGTGTTGTCTTACGCAACCTGGGAATAGTTCAAGGTAATGCATGGGTAGAGTAGACATAGACATAGAAACCACCTCCTCCGAATCCTTAACATTCTTACTTCATTAAGATATACAGTGTCATTTTACACTTTCTAATGTGACAGTTGAAGCAGTAACACCTCCACTCATTTACCCCTTTTTAACTTCTTCCCCCTTCTAGTGAATCATGCCTACAGAATTCTCATGTCTTCTTTCCAAGCCCATAACTATTTTCCCCAACATTCATTTCTCTCTGTTCGCCTCAAGTTAGTCATCCCCTCTCCTACAAGCCTGTCATCCCCTCCCCAACCTCAAGCCTGTCATCCCCTCCCCTACCTCAAGCCTGTCATCCCCTACCTCAAGGGAGTCATCCCCTCCCCTTCCTCAAACCAGTCATCCCCTCCCCTACCTGAAGCCTCTCTCCACACCTCGTTGACTCCCATTCTCCCCTTTAGAATTTTCCTTATTCTAGAGCACAAATAGAATACCCATGAGTACTTATTTAATGTAGTTAAAGATTTCATGACTAGATACATATCAAGGTCTGTTCACAACATCCTATAGTCCTCATTGGACCTTATAATGATGTCATGTCCAGTTTGCACAAGTTTTGGGGCAGTGGGGTGGCCTAGTGGTTAAAGTGTTCGCTCATCACGCCGAAGGCCCGGTTTCGATTCCCCACATGGGTACAATTTGTGAAGCCCATTTCTGGTGTCCCCCGCCTAGATGTTGCTGGAATATTGCTAAAAACAGCGTAAAACCATACTCAGTCAGTTTCACAAGTTTTGTCATGCATTATGTCATCATATGTCCCGTCCAGATTACACAGATGTTCGTATATGTCATGTTCAGATTACACAGATGGTGGTATATGTCATGTTCAGATTACACAGATGGTGGTATATGTCCTGTCCAGATTACACAGATGTTGGTATATGTCATGTCCAGATTACACAGATGTTGGTATATGTCATGTCCAGATTACACAGATGTTGGTATATGTCATGTCCAGATTATGCAGATACATGTCATGTCCAGATTTCACTGATATACGTCATGTCCAGATTACACAGTTGTTGGTATATGTCATGTTCAGATTACACAGATGGTGGTATATGTCATGTCCAGATTACACAGATGTTGGTATATGTCATGTCCAGATTATGCAGATACATGTCAAGTCCAGATTACACAGATATGTCATGTCCAGATTACACAGCTGTTGGTATATGTCATGTCCAGATTACACAGATGGGGGTATAAGTAATGTCCAGATTACACAGATGCTGGTATATGTCATGTCCAGATTACACAGATACATGTCAAGTCCAGATTACACAGATATATGTCATGTCCAGACTACTCAGATGTTGGTATATGTCAAGTCCAGATTACACTAGAGCTGTGTTGTGTCATGTTCATCATGTGTGGCTGCTTGTTCTGCAGAAAGCGATGCGGAACAAGAGCAAGTACATGGATGATGCGAAGTGGCTGTCCGAGAACCTGGATGAGCTCTTGAGAGATGAGCCTGGTGCTGACGGCAACAAGGAGAAGAGTCGACTGAGGGACATCATGGACAAGTTTGGGAAGCTTGATTCCGGCATGAAAAACACGTCTGAGAAGTCCTCTGTGTTCACCAAGAGCTTTGAGTACAGGGACAACTTGGAGCGCCGTTCAAACTGGCTTGACGAGACACAGAAGCAGGTGATGGAGCATCCAGCTATAGACAGTCTGGATGATGCTCGAGCATACCTGCAAGAACACGAGGTGAGATGGGTGTTGTGTGTAGTGCATGTGTTGCTGACTCACACACTGTGTGATAGTCCCTGTAACAGCATGGCTTATCTGTGGTCTGTCACCATGACAACCTACAATTCTTTTCATCAGCTCCATGATCGATATACCCATGTTACACTTGTTACCAAGGTAACATATCATCAGCCATTCGACTTGCTGCTCGTAAATACCCTAAGATACGCTGAATTAAGAACTACATAAATACAAAAAACCTAAATGTGCCTCAATGACATCTCACCCCCCACCATGTTATCTGTCCAGACCCTGTGTGCTTTCCCTATCCCCAGCAGGATCCCCACCCCAAACAGCATCCCCTGCAACCACAACAGCATCCCCACCCCCAACAGCATCCCCTGCAGCCCCAACAGCATCCCCTGCAGCCACAACAGCATCCCCACCCCAACAGCATCCCCTGCAGCCACAACAGCATCCCCACCCACAACAGCAGCCCCTGCAACCACAACAGCATCCCACCCCCAACAGCAGCCCCTGCAACCACAACAGCAGCCCCAGCACCCCACCCCTAACAGCAGCCCCTGCAACCACAACAGCACCCCACCCCAACAGTATCCCCAGCACCCCCACCTCCAGCAGCAGCCACAACAGCATCCACACCCACAACAGCATCCACACCCCAATACCATCCCCACCCCAACACCATCCCCACACCAACACCATCCCCACCCCAACACCATCCCCATTCCAACATCATTCCCACCCCAATAGCATCCCCCCCACCCTCAACACCATCCCCACCCCAACACCATCCACACCCCAACACCATCCCCACCCCAACAAACAAGAACTCTGCTTGGGGGACACTCCTTCGATATCGAGGATCTTAAACTGCTACCCCCTGTGGGACTATTCTTCCTCTCCAGTGGATTCATTTGTCGTAACACTTAACTAACTCTTCTCTACTGCTCAATTGTAAATCTCCAAGTTTGGAGGAGCTAAAGACACTCACTCACTCACTCACTCACCGTCCCCACCCCAACACCATCCCCACACCCCGAATGTAATTGTAAATTTACCTGTGAAAATTCTCATCATTATTTTATGGAATGTTCTTTGTATTCTAATATCAGACAGGAAATGTTTGAAAATATTAGCAGAATTTGTAACATTAGATCACAACAAACCTAGATGTACTGTTAAATGGCAGTGCAGATCTTCCGTACAGTGACAATATTCAAATTTTTAAAGAAGTTCAAAAATATAGATCAAACTCCAAAAGGTTCAGTAATTGGATATAATGTTTATGATCTAAATAATTCATGTATTAATTGTATTGTATATATCCTTTTGTATATATCTTTCTATCCCTGTACATATATTCTTCTTCATAGAGATCGTCTTGGGGTACATATTATGCATTTTCCACGCTGAAAATGTCCTGTGACAGTTGTATAAATGTTTTTGAATAAAAAGATTGTACAATAAATAAACTTTTTTATTTATTATACGGCCCCCACCTCGTGGAGTTACCTCCCGTTGCACATGCGCACCAACTGGGTAATCACCTAGGCCCGTATCATCATTCCTTCTGCTGTCACTAACGTGTGAGGACGTATGTGTAGAGCAGTGCTATACTCTTCGGAACTCAAGAGAATTATGTCTGAGACACCACCTGTATGTATGGTCTTTATCTTGTCCTTGCTAAGGAGCAGTAAAGCTTTGCGGTCGGTTGTTTCATAATTGTGACTTTGTATTATTTTACGCTAACTTTCCCCGTGGTTTACGCACATGTTGCTCTGCCATGGCGGGAAGTTTAGCGTGCCACGTCGTTGTAATATTGCGTATTGAACCAACTATTTCTTCCCGTGGTAGTCTTCACATATTTTTCAATGTTTTATACGTGTCTATTAGCTGCTGGTCCGCTGTTAGCTACATGCTTGCGTGTTTGCTTTTAGGCGTTTTCCTCCTGTTCGGTCTGTGGGCAGAGCATTCCCAGGGCTGACCGCCATGACAAATGCATTGTGTGTCTGGAAAAAACGGACCATATCTCAGAAACATGTGAGATATGCATGGGGTTTTCCCCCCGGGCCCAGAAGAGAAGGGCGGCGGATTTTCTCTTTTATAGAGAGATGCGAGAGGCGGGAGGGGAACTGACCCAGGTCCCCCCGTCCAAAGCCAAAAAGCCTCGTAGGCAAGGCAAAAAGTCACGCAGCCAGTCGCCTTCTCACGCTCCTAGTAGCGTTTTTGACATGTCGTTAATTACGCAGATGTTCCAGCAGCACGCGGACTCGATGAGGTCCCTCGTTCATGAGTCGGTTGGAGGGCTCCGGCAGGAGTTCCTCGCCCACTCTGAGCGTGGGGCGGAGAGTCTGGGGGTGGGATCGCCGAGCTTCAGGTCCGGACGCCTCGGCTGCCCCGGAGGGGGAGGCTTCGCTCCCAGTCCCCCTCTCGGAGTTGGCGCAGGGTCCGTTGAGGATTCCTGAGGTTCTGGTCCCTGCGCCGTCCCGCCCCATGAGAGCGGAGGCACCAGTTCTGCCTGGTCTGCCTCCAGCGTCTCGGGACCGGGGTCCGTGCGAGATGGCAGGCACTGACGCGGGCCGCTCTGTCTGCTCCTCCCTCTCTTCTGTGCCTGGTGCTAGGCCGCCCACCGGGTCGGGGTTCGGGTCCTCTTCGTGAGGAGACCCAGCCTCGGACTCGGACTCGGGCGCCGAGTCCATGGATACTGGGGAGGTAGGGGAGCAGGAGGGTGCCTTCCGTTTTTCGTCGGCTTTGCGGGAGGTCCGGCAACGCATTGCCGAGTTCCTACCCCAGGCCGCGGTGCCTGCCAGCCGCACAGACTCGTCTGAGTTCCGCCTGCCAGGCGAGGCGTTTGCCCCTCGCCAGCCTACGCAGACGCTGCTCCGTATTCTACCATCGTTGGTCCAGGACGTGGTTGATCCCCTCCTGTCTGTGTCTCGCCTCCGTTTCGACTTGCCTGAGCTTGTCCGGAGGTACCAGCTGGGGGAGGATTCCCTGTTCGCTGTTTCAGTGGTGGATGAGTGCATGTTTACTCCGGTCGCCTTGTGGGGAGGCTCGGCTTCCTCGGAGCAGCTCCGGCTGCTCGGCAAGGGCGGTTAACACCACCGCTTGCCGTCGCGGGCGCCCCCCTGCGGCATGCGTAGCGGACCTACGAGGAGGTCTACCGGAACGCCATGCAGCAGTGCGGGTCGTGGTCCATGAGGCCTATCTCTCCTCGATACAGAGGTCGGCCCTGGAGGCGGAGGGGCATGCTGGAGACGTTTCTCCGCATGTCGTGCTACTCCGTCAGTTATCCGAAGTTCAGGCACACCTCGCGCGCGACTCCTCACGGTCAGCTGCGTCGACGGTGATGTGCGCAGTCATGGGGATGCGCAAGCTGTGGCTGTCGACGTCTCGGTACTCGGCAGCTACACAGCAGACCTTGCTGGCCCTTCCCTACCGTCTGGGAGCGACGTTGTTTCCTGGGGCCCAGCAGGTCATACGGGAGGCTGCCGCTGCAGCTACCTCCTTCAAGGACTCTAAGGCCTTGTTGGAGCACCCGCAGGCTTCTCGCCCCTGCGCTCCCGTTCCACCTTCCTCCGCCGGGGTGCAGCCTACACCCGAGTCTGCTGGCTGGCTTCGGCCGCTTGGCAGGGGTAGGCGGAGGAACCGGTCCGCCAAGGGTAAGGGCAAAGAGCAGTCCTCTTCGACTAGCTCCCAGCCTTTTCGCGGGCGCGGGAGGTCTGCCCCGACCTCCCGTTAACCCATCAGGCTGTAGACCCAGCCGTGTGTAGTTCCCAGTCAGCTCCGCTACTCGGGACCACGCACGCGCTCTTACCCAACGTCCCAGTGGGAGGCCACCTCTCTCTATTCCTGCCGGAGTGGGAGAAGGCTACAAACAACACTTGGGTGCTGTCCACCGTCAGTGTCGGCCATTTACCATTGTGGAAGCGAGGTCCGCCCGACTTCACCGGCATACGCCGCACTCCGGTGCCGTCATGTCAGGCAAGGGCGGACATATTGCGCGACGAAGTTCAGGCTTTGCTGGACAAGTCCGCAATCGAGCGCATACCCCCGGGCGAGGAACAGGCGGGATTTTACTCCACGTACTTCCTCGTCCCGAAGAAAGACGGCGGGTTCCGTCCCATTCTCAACCTCAAGGGGTTGAATCGCATGCTCGAAGTTCCATCCTTCAAGATGGAGACACTGCGCTCGGTGATCTCCTCTGTTCAGCCCGGCGATTGGCTCACGTCAATCGACCTCAAGGATGCGTATCTGCATGTGCCCATACATCCATCGTTCAAGCAGTACCTTCGGTTCTCTTCACGGCGGGATGTGTTACCAATTCCACGGTGCTCCCCTTGGCATATCCACTGCCCCAAGGGTGTTCACCAAGCTCATGTTAGTCCGGCTACCCTCGGCTTCAGCAAGGAAGGCGTTGTTACCCTTACCTCGACGACTGGTTGCTCGGCGCACTAACACAGCCAGCGAGCCTAGATGCTACTCACACGGTGATAGACATTCTAGTTCGACTGGGGTGGATCATCAACCTCAAGAAATCCGACCTGGTACCCAACCAGGACTTGGTTTTTCTCGGGGCGAGGTTCCAAACACACAAGGATCTCGTTTCCTTGTCGCCCGACCGGGTCACCAGAGTACGGGAGATGGTGTCTTCGTTCCTCTCCCAGCCCCAGGCACCAGCACGGACTTGGCTCCGTCTACTGGGCCATATGGCGGCGACGATCTCTGTAGTGTGGCGGGCGCGGTTGAGGATGCGCCCTATACAGCAAGCTTTGGCGAGTCTGTGGGCTCACTCGGAGGACCTGGAGCGGAGTCTCACAGTCCCCGGGTGGTTGACACCTCACCTTCAGTGGTGGACCAATGTCGGGAATCTCACCAGGGGGATCCCCTTGGAAATCCCGACGCCAGCTCTTACAGTTCAGACCGATGCGTCCCTCACGGGCTGGGGGGGTATTCTGGGCAGCCTGTCGGTGTCCGGACTCTGGTCCGAAGTCGAAGCCCACCTTCACATCAACGTGTTGGAACTGAGAGCTGTGCGGTTGGTTTTCGAGCGCTTCCGAGAGCATGTCCAGGGCCAGGTGGTTCGTCTTCAGTTGGACAACCAGACGTCCATGTCGTACATCCTGAAGCAAGGCGGCACGGTGTCCTGAGCGCTCCTCCGGGAGACATGGGACTTTCTCCTCAGGTACTCCCTGTTTATCTCCAGGGGCAGGAGAACGTGCGAGCAGACGCTCTCTCTGGCCGGATCCTGGCCCCGCACGAGTGGATGCTCGACAGGCAGATATTCAGAGTTATCTCCCAGTTGTACGGGTCGTTCCAGGTGGATCTGTTTGCGTCCGGCGGGACGAATCAGACACCCGTGTCCTGCTCTCGAAATACCTGACCTGAGGGCGTTGGCTGCCGACACCTTCCTGCTGGATTGGACGGGCAAAGTGCTCTGGGCGTTCCCGCCGTTACCACTCATTCCCCGTGTCCTTTCACAGCTGTCCACCCAGCCAGCTCGGCTGCTTGTGCTACTGGCACCGCTTTGGCCATCACAGAGCTGGTTTCCGGTAATTCTCAGGTTTCTGGCTCAGCCTCCTGTTCTATTACCTTTACGACCGGACATTCTCACTCAGAACAGAGCGCCCCACCCCAATCCAAGGATTCAGTGGGTGGCTTGGCCTCTGTCAGGTCTAGCCTCGAGGCACGCGGAATTCCTGCAGCAGTTGCAGACACAATTCTGGCTTCAAGGCGGGATTCGACAAACGTTCAGTATGAGGATAGGTGGTCCCGCTATGCGCGCTGGTGTTCAGATAGGGGGATTGCAGATCCCTTTTCTGCGGATTTAGTCCGAGTTTTGGAGTTTTTGCAAGCCCATTTGGAAGAAGGCCTGGCGGCTTCGACCATTCGTGGCTACTCCACTGCTATTTCCACTTTTCACACCCCTGTCGATGGTGCTCTTCTGGGGCCGCACCCTCTCGTACAGCGCTTTTTAGCTGGCGCGGATCGGGTTCAATCTGCTGTCAGGCGAACCAGTCCACCTTGGGATTTGTCAATTGTGCTCGATTGGCTGTCCGGTCCCACTTTCTCACACCTATCGGCTATTTCCATTCAGTTGTTAACTTGGAAGGCTGTTTTTCTGGTGGCGGTAACATCTGGGCGTAGGGTCGGCGATTTACATGCTATGTCGTCCGACCCGGCGCTGACTGTGTTTCACAGTGATCGTGTCAGTATTCGCCTCCCGGATACGTACCGACCGAAGGTCGATCACGCTTTCCATGTGACAGCTCCTATCGAACTTCCCACTCTTACCCAGCCTTCCACATCGGGGACCTCTGCAACGAGCACTCACCCGTTGGATGTCCGTAAGACACTCAAGGTCTATATCAAACGAACGCAGGGAATCTGTTCGGGTACCCAGCTGTTCTGTTGTTACGGTGGCGGGAAGGCTGGTGTGCCGGTGAACAAGCAGACTTTGTCTCGCTGGCTAGTTCGTGTATTTGTGCCGCTTATCAGGCTAAGGGCAAGCCTCCCCCTGAGGGGTTGAAGGCTCACTCGGTCAGGGCAGTAGCCGCATCAAAAGCTTTTGCATCGGCACTCCCCATTGAAGAGATCTGCTCTGCCGCTATTTGGAGCCGGCCTAGCACGTTTATTCGGCATTATCAGCTCGATACACATTCCCGTAATCGTGCGAGCTTTGGCCGTTCTGTTCTCTCCAGTGGACAGTGTCCTGCCACCCTGACCGAGTGAGTCTTGGTTCATTGGTTTTTGTTGACGCTGCTGGTCAATACTGAGTTTAATTGACATGTCCGCTTCTGGGAGCTAAATAACCTCATTTCGATCCTCTACGGAGTATTTAGGTCGGTTGTGAGCGTTTTGACATTCCCCCCTACGGTGCTCACTAATCGACACAAGGTGGGTGGGGCTTTGTTTACATTTCGCACCATATGCGAATTACTATGCGAACCTCTGAGGTCGTCTTTGAGTGCAATCCTCCCTGTCAGTTCTCCTCCCACAATGCCTCTCGCGGAAGCGAAAACTGGGACATGTGACAGGTGAGTGTTATGGCGTCTGTTACATTATTCAATTGACGATAGCTATTTGTATGTGCTTGGACAGAATTCCCTCCTCCCTGGCCTCCGGTCTTTGGGAGTCTGTGTTTATGCATAATATGTACCCCAAGGACGATCTCTATGAAGAAGAATTAACCAAACCTGAAGAGGTTTTCAATTCTTGAAGAGAGTAGATCCTTGGGTAGGGCCTCCGCCTCCCGCAATTCTGTTCACTGATTTATTCAGCAGAAGGAATGATGATACGGGCCTAGGTGATTACCCAGTTGGTGCGCATGCGCAACGGGAGGTAACTCCACGAGGTGGGGGCCGTATAATAAATAAAAAAGTTTATTTATTGTACAATCTTTTTATTCAAAAACATTGATACAACTGTCACAGGACATTTTCAGCGTGGAAAATGCATAATATGTACCCCAAGGACGACTCTCTTCGAAGAATTGAAAACCTCTTCAGGTTTGGTTAAGTTTGTTTCACTTTTGCATGTAAGCACTGTAAATAGGAGAGGGTTTCACTAAGTTGGCATAACTTGTACCCAGTCCATTCTCTTGAAGAAATATGTTTAAATCAAATCATCCCCACACCAACACCATCCCCAACACAACACCATCCCCACACCAACACCATCCCCCACCCCAACAACATCCCCACCCCAACAGCATCCCCACCCCAACAGTATCCCCACTCAACACACCCTGTACACTGTACATCTCAATGCCATCAACACACCTTGATCACCAACGCATCATCACGCATTACACACTCACACTATGGCGAATAATCCTAGACATGTCCCATGTCGCGCACCTACTCCCATACCACCAATTATGAATCTGCTTCTCTACCCCCAGGGTACACTGTACATCTCAATGCCATCAACACACCTTGGGCGTACATCCTGGTAAGTGTCGGCTACTTAACCTGAGTGCGTTACTGTAACCATGTGAGCCGTCAACCTTTACTTATTCCTTCTTATTTTGCTTGGCCGTCCAGGGCCGTGGTATGGCTGTCTGGCATCTCGTGTTAGCGTGGGGGTATGACTGGGAATAACTCCTGTGATGTCTGCAGTTGCTTGTTCATTAATCTTAATTCAATCATATTCACCATCGTGATCAATAGTACATGAGACTTGGGACAGTCACTGATGCAGCCATCACATTGTCCACATGGCACATGGCCGTCACAGTGAGGCACATTGCCCCCACCACATCAATGGTGTCTGTATTCTCATTTGTAATTCTGTAACTCTCTTAGATAGGTAATTTCAAATGTTTCATTTGACTGACTGAAGTCAGATGTGGTTTGACATGGATTCACTGGCCCGAGACATTTATTCACCTTCGTTTTATACACTAGCATTGTAAAGAAGTATAGAGGGACAACACAGCATGTTACGACAAGAGTAGCATTCTAAGTGTCCAGTAATTCATATGTTAAAGTCACTCTACAATTTAGACAGTTTAGCAGCTGTTTTCCAGTTTCGTGGATGTGTTCATTATGGAGGTGCTCTCCTGTCCACGCCTTGTATTTTGACATCAAGGAAAGACCCGCAGTCACTTTGAAATAAGAAATATGTCACCTGCCATCAAACTTCACATTTTATGATATTAATGTTTCATAGGCATTGCCATTCTTGTAAGGATTTAAGTTTCGTTCTACATTTCATATCTTCATTGTTTAGATGATACACTGACTTCACTAAGGTCGTTACTGATATAATAATACACAAGGAACCCCAAGATAACACCAGTCCTCCAGGCGGTACAGGCCAGGCACCATGTTTAGGTGTCCTGCCAGACTGCTCACTTCATAAATACATGGCCTAGCAGACGGGTTTGGTTAAATCCAGTCATAAAGATACATTACTAGACATTTATCATTTAATTTTCATAATATGCTGTTTGTTGTAATTTTGTAAGATAAATGCCTGTAGTTTAGTTCCACTTCCTAGCTGCATGTTGTTTCGTGCTGTATGTAGTGATGTTGTAGATGATGTAGTCGATGTTGTAGACAAGGTGGTAGTGCTGCCTGCATGTGAAAGTGGTACTCTCACCTGGGTTGTCTGTTTCAGTCCATCATGAGTAGGCTTGAAGCCGAGGCTCCCAACATCAATGCCGACATTGAAGCTGGGAAGAGACTGCAGAGGGAACGCAATGCACCTTCCTTCGTCAGCAAGACTGTGGAGGACCTCTCACGCAAATGGAAAGACACAAATGAACTAGCAAGAGCCAAGCTAACAAAACTGCAGGTAATGAAAGCAGAACTATATACATAGGTCCCATTCCTTAAGTCCAGCCTCAATGATCCTGACTCGTTACCAGTCCCCCATCATCTCCCCCTCCATCTGTGCTACAGGTAAAGTTATTGATTGGCTATGATCACCAACAATCTTGATTGGCAGTGCTTATCTCCCTTGCAAGGAGTTGAGGTGTTCAAGTAGTATAAGCAGATCAGGGCCCAATTCACAAAGCCGACTTCCAGTAAATGATGTCTGCAATGTTATTGTCTATAACAGGCAGAATGATGCTGAGGGTTAAGGCAGATACCAGAATGGTGTGAAGTTATCCCACAGTGCAATTGTGCCCATGAGAAAAAGCTGACTTGCTGATGGTGTGACACCCTGGCAATAACCTTGGAAGGTCACATCAGGCCATGTTAGACCTGTCAGGACATTTGCTGGATCTGGATATATCTATATATATAGACTGTTATATCCTATGACTCTCTTGTTACAGTTGTATCATTCCATTCCTTAGTTGTGCCACATACGAGGACAAAAAGACAATGGAGTGTTTTCCTGAGATTGTCAGTTGTTGATGCCTGGCAATGGCTGAACTAGCAGCTGCTGTTTTAACCAGTGTTGTTTGCTGTATATATGTTGTTTTGGCCGCAGCAAACGGTGCGGAGCTGGGAGCAGTATGAGGGTGAGAAGGGCCAACTGCTGCAGTACCTGAAGAAGGCCGAGTCGGAGCTGGAGAAGCCTTCGATTGCCACCGGCCAGGACATGGCTCAGAAGGACCTCCAGGCCAAGAAGGTAGGTGTTTCAGCACATGCATGAACTGATGGTCATTCAGAGAACTCGACTGGCTGTTACATAATGTAGATGACATGTATTGTTGTAGATAATTCATGGTTTAATAATTCAATATAACTGTTTAAGGTGCATTCAGATATGATGGAAAATGGAATTCTTCAGTACTTCCCGAATGTTGCATTGTGTTTACTGATTGACTGCTTGTGCATTTTGTGTGAAGTATGTCACCCTGTGTCTCATGTCGTGGGATGTTTCTCCAGGAGCTGCACTCGACCCTCAACAAGCTGAAGGGTAGCATATCGGAGATGCAGAAGCTGAACGCTGCCCTGGCAGAGGGAGCAAGTCGAGAACGTCGCGGACCACTCAAAACTGAGATGTCTGATATTGACAAACGCTTGGAGAATGTGTCGGTGCGTCTCAATGCTAAACTGGCAGACCTTGAGGCAACTATTGCAAAGTGGTCCGAGTACTACAAGAGACTCAACAACTTCTGTGATTGGCTGAATGTGAAAGAGACCAGACTAAATGAAGTATACGAGAATAAGCGAGACTTGCCAGAACAGCAGCTCACCAAGGCCGAGGTATGAACGAGCAGACGTGCATCCATAGATGGTTACTTACATGAGGATTGTTTCTTGTTCTGGGATGGCTACTTACATTAGAATGGTTACTTAGGATACTAACTTACTTCATGTCAGTTAATTTCATGGGGATAGTTTCCAACCTTTCAATGGTTTATTATATTACATTGATAACATTACGTTGGATTCCTAAATTAGATGACTTACATTATGTAAGTTACTTGCATTACATTGGTTTCTTGCATTAAGATGGGTACTTACTTTTGTGTTACTTACTTTTGGGTTTCTTACATTGATTTAATTATCACTTTATGCCAGGCTATCGCGTCGGAGGTGTACGAGAACCACATCACCTTGGATACCCTGGAGAAGGATGCGCGTGGACTATCCAACAACTTCCGGTCCCGGGAGACGGCAGCACTGAAGTCAAAGCTAACAACCCTGCGAAGGCAGTGGGAGAGTCTTTGTGCCCGGGCCAAGGACCGCAGCACCGCCCTGTCTGGGAATGTCGTCCACTGGCAGGAGTACCAGCGTCTGCAAGAGCAGCTGCTGCCCTGGATTGTCAAGGCAGAGAAGTACTGTGCCACCGAGCCACCTAAATGTGGGTCTCTGGAGGAGGCACGCCAGCTGTACGATGTCCATCAGGTCAGATTTATTGATTTTCTACCAATTATCAGGTTTGGTAATTATATATCTATGAACAAGTAAGTTGAAGTTTGAGGATTCCATCAGTTTTGTCAAGTGAAAGTTGGGACTGACAGAAGACAAATTATATACAAGTTTGTGAAATCCCTTGTCGTCTCTTTTTCATAACCAGAGTTTCCTTCAAGAAGCAGAGGAGCACTTGCCTCTGTTTGAGAAGATGAGCACAGAGGCTGGTTACCTCATGGAGCAACCAGACATGCCCCGAGAGTTGGAGGTCATCCAGGGGAGATGGGGGAACATCCTCACAGCCTCAGAGGAACGCACACATCGTATGGACAAGATGTTCGGGGCATGGACAGCCTTTGATGAAGAACAAGACACCTTTATGGAGACACTTCAGAAGTTTCAGAACCGACTTGCCCAGGATCCCAACACATCTACCACTGACATCCAGGTGCTGGAGCACGAGCTGGCTCTGGCCAAGGTAAGCAGATGACTACAGTCAGCTACAGTTACTACAGTGCAGGTGTGTTCTATAAGGTGATGTTTACTTTAATGGTGTTTGCTTACAGGGCTGTTTACTGAGTGATTGCTACAAGGCTGTTTACTGGGCATGATTACTACAGGACTGTTTACTGGGGCTGATTACTACAGGACTGTTTACTTGGTTTGATTACTACAGGGCTGTTTACTGGGGCTGATTACTAAAGGGCTGTTTACTGGTCATGATTACTACAGGGCTGTTTACTGGGGCTGATTACTAAATGGCTGTTTACTGGGCATGATTACTACAGGGCAGTTTTCTGGGCATGATTACTACAGGGCTGATTACTACAGGGCTGTTTACTGGGCATGATTACTACAGGGCTGTTTACTAGGCATGATTACTACAGGGCTGTTTACTGGGCTTGATTACTACAGGGCTGTTTACTGGGAAGTATTACTACAGGGCTGTTTACTGGGCATGATTACTACAGGGCTGTTTACTGGGCATGATTACTACAGGGCTGTTTACTGGGCATGTTACTACAGGGCTGTTTACTGGACATGATTACTGCAGGGCTGTTTACTGGGCATGATTACTAAAGGGCTGTTTACTGAAAGTGTATACTACAGAGCTGTTTACTGAGAGTGTTTACTTATCGACTGCAGCCCTGTTTACACTGGGTGCTACAGAAGTGTATGTGTGTTCCTACAGCGGAGTATGTGTGTGTTGCTATATCACTCTCTGTGTGTGTGGCGTGTGCATGCATGCATGCTTGTGTGTGTGTGTGTGTGTGTGTGTGTGTGTGTGTGTGTGTGTGTGTGTGTGTGCGTGTGCATGTGTGTCCTACAGTACAGCAGTGTGTGTGTTCTTTCTGCAGGCCCTCCAGGATGAGGTCCGGGGTCAGCAGCCACAGATGAACGCACTGCAGCGGCGGTTTGAGCAGGTGCAGCCATATGCCAGCCCAGATGGCCTCAACAAGCTCAAGCAGAAGCAGGATGATGTCAAACAGATCTGGAACGACATCAACACTGGGGTGCTGGAACGGCAGAAGATGCTGACTACAGCTGTACAACATCGTCGCGACTTTTATGGTCGTATGCAGGACTTTGAGAAATGGGTGAAGAAAATTCAGCGGAAACTTGACACTGGGAGTGAAATATACTCTGATGAGGTTGCTGATGAACTTGTCAAGTTGCAGGTTAGTGTTGCACACCTTTTGTGTTGTGAAGTAATATAACAGTCTGGCATGAAGTGCACGATAAATGCAATTTGCGATGAAGATGAATGATTATGTTTAGTGTTGTGTCTTGTGTTTCAGGGACTGCGGGGAGAGTGCGGTCAGCATGATCCTGTCTTCCAAGCCCTGCAGCAGGAGTTCAAGGAGATGATGCAGAACTGCTCCAAGGATGAGGCAGCTGTGCTCAGCGACCGGTTTGATCGTATCATGGAAGGTTACACTAAGATTGAGGACCTAATTCAGAACCGAGAAAACCTGTGTGACAGCTGGACGAAGTATAATGGTGATCACAAAGAAGCCCAGGCCAAGCTGAAGTCCCTTCAGGCTCGCCTACAGTCTCCAGACCTCACAGAGGCAGAAGTCAACCAAATCAAGAGGGAGATCGCAGAGCTGAAGGCAAGCATGAATGGCTGGAACAAACAGGCAGATGGGCTGGATGATTTGATGGGGGCTTCCCAGATGATCATCAAAGACCGAGCCACTCAGCGAACACTTCACTTCAACTCGGAGCTGCAGAGTCTGGAACATCTGTGTGACACAGTGTCAGAGGCAGCCCAGCAGAAGGAGAACCATCTCGGGGAACTGGCACAGCTCAGTGATGACTTTGTGGTGAAGAAGGATCAGCTGGTCCTCAAGCTCCAGGAGATCCAGGATAGAATAGCCTCGGCTGCTGTGGACAAGTCCAGCCTTCAGGGGCTGAAAGAACTCATCAGAGAAGTGGAGGTAGGTGCTAGATTCTATGTTAATGAAAATAATAAATTTCCTATATATATCATTGTCAGAGCTGTGTAGTATTACCCTGGTTAGTGGTTGGTGTGCACTCTTTCATTCTCTTCCCCAAGGAAGTATTCAACTAAAGGTGCGGGTGAGGTGCAAGAAGTGTCCCACAGCCATGTCATCCTTATGGTTCTTATTTAATGTTGGGTGAACAGAGATACTGTGGTACATTCATCAGAAAACTATCATTGACTGATGTATTTATGTTGTTGTAATTCTTAGTGGATCATTGATCTTCATTGTTCCAGGATATTCGAGATGACATGTACGCAAACAATCCTGAGTATGAACAACTGCGTGAGCTAGGTCGGCAGATCATGCAGTCTGACCCCAGCAAAGCCTCAGCCCTTCAGACCCAGCTGAGTGAGGTGAACCAGGTGTGGGAGGGCGTCCAGGCCGCCATTGCTGACAAACACCAGTACCTCAACTCTGTGGGCAATCTGTGGCAGCAGTACAACGAGGCCAAGACAGGTGTGGTCCGAGTGTTGGATGATGTCGATCCACTTGTCAATCAACAGATCGCTTTCTCCAACCCAGCAGATGTAAAGAAGAGTCTTGACCAGCACAAGGTACAGTCAGCTAGAATCTATAAACAACTACATAGGGGACTGTGATGATATTGACTGTTTCACAGTTACATGTGGTACTCAGTAATATTTTCTTTGTATGCCAACAAACAGTACCATTGAATTATACTTGCAAAACAAGCAAATATATTTATTTATCTGTTATTCATGGTAACTTAGGTTGTCCTGTGTTACAGAATGCCGAGTTTGAGCTGCACGCCAACCAGACCCAGCTGGACCACATGAACACAAAGGGGTTGCAGCTCCTCGAGGAGCTGGCCAAGGTCCCTGGCTTCCAGTGTGAGCCTGTTGAGGCCGATCTGGATGAGGTCAACCATAAGTGGGAGATGGCCAACAAGGTGGGTTGCGGGAAACTAGTTACATGCCTTTCATTATATGTTTTACCATGGAGTACAGCAAAAACAAGGAAGGTAACTGTAATCTACTCCATAAAGTTGTATTCAAGTGAGAAGTTACTGACTTATATATATGTCCCAATATTTTTTACACAGATGCAGAATCATTAAAGTTTTGTTAATAAAACATGCAATCATCATGGCATTCCTCCTTGTGTATCAGACCATCATTGATGATCACCGAGAGAACCTGGAGGCCCAGCTGGTGTGCTGGGATCAGCTTCAGTCCGGCAAGGATGAGGTGGCAGCTTGGGTCAACTCAATGGGAAACAAGCTGGATGACAGTCTCAAAAACTTTGATGATGCCGTCAGCGTTGAGAGCAGGCTATTGAAGTTCAAGGTATGTTGTTACATCGTGATACACTATTAGCCCAATTATTAGACATGGACAAGTCTACCTTAATACTGAAACATGGAGGAAATTAAGATGACATTCCTGACCTTAAACTATATCTGGAAAGTTAATGCTGCAATAATCTCCCTCACTCACTTGCCTATCCCACTTGTCATCCCTCTGCAGGAAGAAGCTCCCTACTTCCAAGAGGTCCTCAAGGAGGTCAGCCAGAAGATGAATGATCTTCGTGAGTTGAATGGAGGTCATGACCTTCCGGCCATGGAGCAGGAGATGCGGGATATCGCGGCAAAGTTCGAACATGCATCTGAAACAGCCGGTCAGTTGGAGTCTGTCATGTCCAATTTCTCTGATGAGCAAAAGCAGCTACAGGAAGAGATTGATGCTGAAACTGCGTGGATGAACAAGATGAAGGAGAGGCTCGCCAAATGTGATGACGTGACTGGCAGTGATGATGACATCATTGCCAGATTCATGGAATCAAAGGTAAGCAATGATTCACTTACTGATTCATAGAGGAAGGTGGAATTACAGCTGGAGTATCTTTAGTCATTGATTACAGAGACAGCAGTAATATTCTCTATTAATTTTGGTAACTTCCATTCGAATGCATGTTTGGTTTCAGGAACTGCAAGAGGAATTTGCACAGCACAAACAGAGAATGGCTGATATACAAGCCAAGACACGGTCACTTCAAGCCAAATACCCATCCTCAGAAATGTCGAACCTAGCCAAGGATGCCAACGTAATGTCCAAGAAGTTTGATGCTTTGGCGGGCCGAGCTGAGCGGATCGAGGACTCTCTCCAAGGGACTTTGGAACAACACTGCCAGGAGGCCCAGCAGCAACAGGCACGGTGGCTCAACCAGGCCAAGGAGAAGGTTTCATGGTGTGACGACATCGGAGGAGACCGCTACAGCGTGGAGGCAAAACTCTCCACCATCAAGGACCTGATGACTGGACTGGAGGAAGGGGAGGAGAAGAGGGCCGCTGCAGCGGCACAGCTGGAGAAGATCAAGGCTGTCCTTCCCAAGTCCAAACAGAAGGAGCTGGAGGCCCAGCAGAAGGCTGTCGACAGAGAGTGGAACACCCTGGCAGGACAGATTGGGCAGACTCAGTAAGTACCATGCTCTAATGTTGTGGGAACAGCAAGAACCTTTCTTTTCATCCTTAGATTGATTACAAAATACTGTTTCATGTTGACTGGTTGGAAATTAAGTTAAGATGACTGTTATTTATAATGATATGTTGTCAACAAAGGCACAATGCTCATTTCTCTGCAGCCCTTAATTTTAGATTATCTGTCAGACCTTTTCAGGCTTCTTTCAATTTGCACTGTTCTGGTCCTTAGATTATGCAGGGATGTTTAAAGTGAGTTGTCTGTTCAGGAATAAGCTGGAGACATCTATCGAGCAGTGGACAGACCATGACAGCCGGTATGAGGAACTGAGCCAGTGGCTGAAGGATGCTGAGGCCCGGATGAGGAACGAATCATCATTGAGATCAGACCTGGATGGCAAACATGAACAGCAGCAAGTTCAAGGTCAGTGAAAGGTCAAGACGTAAACAAAGATAGAACCAGTTCATCTTGACCAGGGTTTGTCTTCACAGGGCTTTTTCTTCTTCTGTAATTAGACAAAACGTGGTGTTTAGTTGATGCTTTCCTCGCTGAGTTTATATCCTTGAAGTTAGATCTGTAATCTTTGCTTTAGATGGAATCTTTGTACCTTCTCCCCTTATTTCAACCGGTGGAAGACCACAACATCCGGTATATCTCAGTATATTTTTCATATGTAACCTGTGCAGTTATCAGTCACAATACAGCCAGGATGACTTACTAGTAGTTTGAAGATGGGGCCTTTAACTGAACCACTTGTAGTATAGTGTTGATAACTTGATTTATTTGGGTATTTTGTATGACAGGAACTGCAGGCAGAGATTGCAGCTAAAGGAGAGAGTTTGAGGAACTCCAGGATAATGCTGGTCAGATCTCCCGCTCCACTGGAGACAACCGCACAGCGTCCCATGCAGCACAACTGCTAAACAGGTTCCAGACTCTGGGAGAGTCTGTCAAGGTAAGTAATAGTTCTACAATACTTCTCTTGATCAGAGAATATCTACTAAACATAAACACAGTAAAAACACTGCAGCATAGATATGACATGTGGTCACTGACTGCTTGCTTCCAGGACCAGAGTGAGAAGAGTGACAGCAACATTGCCGACCATGAAACATTCTCTGAGAACATGAAGGATGTGATGGGATGGCTGGAACATGCACAGCAGCAGTTAGAGGACTGTGAGTCTGGGGTCGGAGATGAGGAGGCTCTGCAACTCAAACTGGCCAAACTACAGGTACAAACAGTTTCTTGCCACTGGAACTGGATACTGGATCCATCATGATATGATACCAGTATTGCTGTCTCATATGTATTGCAAAGTATCCTTAGCTTTTTACTGATCTGGAATAGCATCTGTTTCAACTCAGGAAATATTTCCTTATCAAATCGCAACACTTTGCCTGGTGTAACTGAGGTAATGGTATGATTTTACTGATCTACTTGATAAAACTTGATTAACGTTAGTCAGTTCTGGTGTTGGGCGGTGGGGTAGCCTATTGGTTAAAGTGTTCGCTCGTCACTCTGAAGACCCAGGTTCTAATCCCCACATGGGTACAATGTGTGAAGCCCATTTCTGGTGTCCCCTGCCATGATATTGCTGGAATATTGCTAAAAGCGATGTAAGGCTAACCTCACTCACTCACTGAAGTCACTGGTCCCATTCCCTGGTCCTTGCAACCATCCTAGGTCCCATCCCCTGGTCCTTGCACCCATCCTAGGTCCCATCTCTGGGTCCTTGCACCCATCCTAGGTCCCATCCCCTGGCCCTTGCACCCATCCTAGGTCCCATCCCTGGGTCCTTGCAACCATCCTAGGTCTCATCCCCTAGTCCTTGCACACATGCTAGGTCCCATCCCCTGGTCCTTGCACCCATCCTAGGTCCCATCCCCTGGCCCTTGCACCAATCCTAGGTCATATCCCCTGGCCCTTGCACCAATCCTAGGTCCCATCCCCTGGTCCTTGCACCAAGCCTAGGTCCCATTCCCTGGTCCTTGCACCCATCCTAGGTTCCATCCCTGGGTCCTTGCACCCATCCTAGGTCCCATACCTGGGTCCTTGCACCCATCCTAGGTCCCATCCCCTGGGCCCATACGCTTCCTCAGTTCTGGTGATATGTTTACACCACGGTAGCAGTAAGAAAGTTGGTTTGGTCTTTAGGATCTTCTGGGCAACAAGGAGGATGGACTTGCCAGGTTTAATGCAGCACTGGAGCATGGGGAGAAGCTGTTCCCTAATACATCAAACCAGGGCCGTGAGAACATCCGGCGTGACCTGCGTGCCTTGAGGGACAAATGGGAGATGTTCCAGGACAAGTTAAACAACACACAACGCAACCTGGAGACCTCACGCATGCAGTGGTCCTCCTTTGATGAAAACTTTGATCAGCTCAACAAGTGGATCAGTGATACCGAGAGGCATGTCAGTGCTGAACCGGAGCTGAAGAACTCGCTACAAGAGAAGAAGGCTCTGCTGCAGCAGTACAAGGTGGGTGGAACATGTGGGACAGGGCAGGTAAAACAGGCCACAGAAGAACAGGCCACAGAATCTAGGAACTTCAGTGGACCCAATTGCTTTGTCTGTGTGAAAGTGGTCATCAATGGGTATAATTCTGAAATGTGACCCTTTTTACCTGTGGTCATCTGGTTCCACTGGCCATGATTTATTAAGTATTCCCATTTCGACAACCTGCACTGTTGTCTGTAGCATAGTGTAATGCCCAAAATGATGTGTTTCCTGTGTCACTTGTTTGAAACATTGTGATGGTAGACATGCAACTGACTTGGTTTTGTGTTCCCTTCTCCTGGTAGACACGACACCAGGACATCCTGTCTCACCAGACCATGGTGGACAGCATCACAGACAAGGGGAGAGCACTCGCCTCCAGTCAAGTACAGAACAGACTCACGCAGCTCAACCAGAAATACAGTCAGCTCCGCTCTCAAGCCCAGGTTAGTAGTCTCAGTGAGCAGCCTTCCGTCATAGATGCAACTCCTCCGTCATAGATGCAACTCTTCCGTCATAGATGCAACTCTTCCATGTAATGAGTGCTGATCCTTTCAGTGTTGATCTGTATACAAGTGACATATCAACTTTTGTATTGTCAAGTTGCCTTGATGTATATGTTGGATTTACACTGACTATAGTTCTGTGAGTATGCAGTTTCTTGAGGCATATATTGCGATGTTCTGGTGATCCGATGCACTGGGTAGGTGGGCCAGTGTCTGATAATCATGGGTCTGAGATTTGCCCTAATAACATGCTTGTCAACACAATTCCTGAGCTCACGAAGCACCTGTAACCCAATGGGGTTTCTGCCAACATAATGCTGCAGACATTCTTTGTTATCACAGTGTAAACACATCACTCACTCTCTCACTCTGTGACAGACTCAACTGCGGCAGTCGGAGGAGCATGTTGACCAACACCAGCTGTATCAGGACAATCACCAACAGTGCCGGGACTGGATGACCTCCTCCAAGGACAAGCTTGCTGTCTGCTCTGAGGTCAGCGGGGACAGACAAGCTCTACAGAACAGACTGGACAGAGTGAAGGTAAAGTGTACCGTCTGTCTGCTCTATTGCTGTTCTTGATCTTTCTACCATGAGTTCACTATGTGTTATGCAGTTGTAAATGGTTACAATACAACTCCCTATCACAGTTTGGGTACTCTATTTCTCTTCCTGACACCTGTGAAGATGCGGGTTAGAATTGATCTTCAGTAACCCATGCTAGTCATAAAAGGCCACTAACAGGATCAGGTGGTCAGGCTCTCTGACTTGGTTGACACATGTCATCATATCCCAATTCCGTAGACTGATGCTCATGCTGTTGATCACTGGATTGTCTGGTCCAGATTCGATTATTTACAGACTGCCACCATATAGCTGGAATATTACTGAGTGCGGCGTAAAACTGAGCTCACTCACACACTCTCTTCCTGACCTTGCAACCACCCACAAGTCTACTCTGTACTCTACGTTACCAAATGTTTACATGAAAAGACCGTGTAGGACATCTGGTACTCTGTTCTTCATTCTACGGTATGCTGCCATCCACAGGACCTACAGTCCAGTCTGAGTGAGGGCAAGTCCAAGCTACACAGCACACACCAGCATGGTGAGAAGACCTTGCCGCAGACCGGTGCCCAAGGTCAGAGGAACATCCAGCGTGAGATGGAGACACTGGACCAGGACTGGCAAGGGTTGGAGGGCAAGATGGCTGATATACAGCAAGGTCTGGTCCAGGCACTTGAAGCTCTGAAGAACTATGACGGGTCATGTGAGGAACTCGGACATTGGCTTCGGGATGCCGACATCAAGATCAAGGACACAGATTTGAAGTCAACATTAGAAGAAAAACAGAGACATGTTGATGATCTGAAGGTATATAGTAATGTTGTCAGCTGAAAGTATACAGTCATACAGTCAACTTTGCAAACGTCCTAAGTCTTCGGAGAGTTCTAATATAAATTGGACATAATCTTGTCTTCTCCCCCAGTTCTGTAACTTTGTTAATGATGATGGTGGGGCGTTCTTGTTTCATGTTCATAATTTTGTTTATTGTGTTTTAGTTCTGTTTGTCCCAGCTTATCATTTACAGAAAACTAGTGCATATCTTTGTTAGGCAGTACAATGGGAGATTGAATTCAAGTATCACATACTGTTACTTTTTGTTATTTGTGAGTCTTGAATCATAACACTCACACCTGACTGTCTTTGTCAGGCTCTACAACGGGAGATCGAGGACAAGCAGGTCGAGTTTGTCAATCTACAGTCCATGGCCTCTCAAGTCCAGGGAGCTGATGCCCGACAAATCGGCTACAGCACCCAACTGGCCTCCAAGTCCGAGACTCTGAAGGCTGGCATCAAGGTAGGAGGCCATCTGTGTCCAATAGTTTAACCCGATGTTACACATACATTTCTTTTTGTAAGAACTATGACGATGGTTTGAGGCAGGTCATTTAAGCTGATTGTGTCACTTGTCTGCCTGTCCAGGATGCAATCCACAAGGGGCAGGACAGCGTGGATGAGCAGCAGTCATACGAGAACAACCTGGCACAGTGTGAGGACTGGATGTCCACGCTGAGGAGGAGGCTGGAGGTGTGCGGTGACCTGGCCGGCGACAGACATGATGTGGAGGACAGGCTGACCAAACTGCAGGTTAGTTATCTAGTTTATTTGTTCTCATGTTGACAGTAGTAGTCATGCAGATGGTTGTTGTAATGTTTATTATAGTTGTAACTCTGAATCAATTCGTGTCTTTTCTAAGTGAGTTATTCATGGTGATATTTCTGTGATGAATACAACATTATCTGAAGTGATACAGCCCTTTACACTTCCTCTCATTGTTCATGGTTGTCTTTTACTTGTACAGCAACTGGCTGCTGAGAAGGACAGTGGCCGCCACCGCATAATGCAGACCATAGATGCAGGGGAGAAACTGTATCCCACCACTGCTTCTGAAGGCAGAGAGGTGATCCGTCAGGACATCAGGAACCTGCGGGAGAATTGGGACTCGCTATGTGATGAGGTGGCAGCAACCCAGAGGAAGCTGGAGTGCAGTCTGCTGGAGTGGTCCGCATATGATGACAACTTTGAGCAGCAAGGACACTGAGGTCAAGAGTAGTGAAGGAGGAGGAAGTGAAGGCCACACTGCTGGAGGCCCACTGCAGAACCACAAGGAGGCTCCACACATTGAGAGGAGTGGTGTTGGGGTGGGGATGAGATGAAGGCCACACTACATGGTCATTGGAGAGTAGTGGTGTTGGGGTTGGGATGTAGACCCATCTACAGAACCACAAGGTAGGAACTCCTGCAGGGATATTGGAGTGTTGGGGTGGATCTGCTGACCCAGCTACAAAACCTCAAGTCCCAGCACCCTAATTGGTGTAGTGTGGGATGTTGCATTATGACCATTAGATATCTGTACTATCAAAACTATGGTGACTGCCACTTCCGAAAGGCCCATAAATTAAGAACTCAAGGTACTGAGGATAGCCAAGAGGTACTTAAATGAAGGAAATAAAGTAAGATGTTGTAAAAAGTGATTAAGGGTTTCAGTACAGAGGCCTTCTTCCTTGTGCAGGTTCTTCACCAAGACATCCTGTCCCGTCAACACATCATGTCCAACCTCACGGAGAAAGCTCACAGTCTCACGCAGTCCTCACCCTCAGCCAAGGTCAATAAGTTTGTGGGTGAGCTACAGAAGAAGTATGCTGGGCTGTGTGACAAGTCCCGGGGGGTGCTTGGGAGCCTGGAGGAAGGAGTCAAGTACCATCAGCAATACCAGGATGCCTACCACGATCTTCAGGACTGGCTCAACCTCTCCCGAGAGAAGCTGGACTCCTGTGCTGACCGCTCCGGGGACAGACTGTCCTTGCAGAGCAAACGGGAGAGACTGAAGGTGGGACTTGCTATATACTGGTCGCTGTTAATTTCTGTTTTCTGTAAGGATGAGGCATTTTCATCTTTCCCAGTTGAGATGAACATGCCTGCCTGGCCTTGTATTGGTTTTTGAGTGTTTTTTTCTGGATGAATTTCGAGGAAAATGGAGATACAACTGTTGCGAGGAAAGAATGGAAATACTGCGGTGTTGCTGAAAGATTGCTGCTGCTTGGTGGTGTTGCTGAAAGATTGCTGCTGCGGTGTTGCTGAAAGATTGCTGCTGCGGTGTTGCTGAAAGATTGCTGCTGCTGCGGTGTTGCTGAAAGATTGCTGCTGCGGTGTTGCTGAAAGATTGCTGCTGCGGTGTTGAGCAATAGTTAATTCAATCACTCACTTTACTATTGTCAGGAGTTCGAAGCCAGTGTTCCAGATGGAGAGAGGAAGTTGAACAAGACCAGAGAGCTCTGTGAGATGACGGCTAAGCACACCTCTCCTCAAGGCTGTGATGTCTTGCGGCGGGAGATCGAGCACCTGCAACGTGAGTGGGACGACTATGTGAGTCTGATGAGGCAGGTGGGCTCCTCTCTGGACCAGGCCATGGTGCAGTGGGGAGACTTCGAGACCAAGTTCCAGTCATGTGCCGACTGGCTGAAGCAGATGGAACAGGCCGTCAAGAACCACGAACTCAAGTCCACGCTCAATGAGAAGCTGATGCAGGTGGACAAGTTCAAGGTAAGTGATAAACCAGTCGAACTTGTTTATGTTGGGTGTGACTATGATTAAGGTATGGACAATGATTTAAACATTCTGTGCTGTCAGTTTCTGTTGAAAACAAACCACTGTTTTGTCTGTGTCAGAAACAACGTGAAGAGATCCAGTCTCATCAGTCAGAAATTGACAGATTCACTGATGAGGCTCAGAACCTAATGCACACAAGTTCAGATGTGAGGCTGAGCACCCAGGTATCACAGTTGACAAATCGCTATCATGGGCTGCTCTCACTCATCAAAGACCTCATCAACAAATGGGAGAAGTATGTTCATGAACACCAAACCTATGACAGTCGCCTCACAGAGCTGCGGCAGTGGCTCAACATGGCCAACCAGAGACTGTCTGGATGTCAGCAGCCTGTAGGAGACCAGGAGACCATGGAAGAGAAGAGAGCTGTGATACAGGTGAGTGGGGCTTGGAGATGGAGATGTGAGTCTGGTGGGTGGATGGGGCGGCGAGGGGTGGGGCAGGCGAGTCTGGTGGGTGGAAGGGCAGGCGAGTCTGGTGCTCAGTTGGAGTGGCAAGTCTGGTGGGCAGATGGGGTGGTGAGTCAGTTGGGGTGATGGATGGATGAAGTTGTGAGTCTGGTGGATGGATGGGGTGGCGAGTCTGGTGGATGGATGGGGTGGCGAGTCTGGTGGGTGGATAGGGTGGCCGAGTCTGGTGGGCATGGAGTGCTTAGTCTGGTGGATGGATGGGATGGTGAGTCTGGTGGATGGATGGATGAAGAAGTGAGTCTGGTGGGTGGATGGGATGGCGAGTCTGGTGGGTGGATGGGGTGGCGAGAGTCTGGTGGGTGGATGGAGTGGTGAGTCTGATGGATGGCGGGATGGTGAGTCTGGTGATGGATAAAGTTGTGAGTCTGGTGGGTGGATGGGTGATGGATGGGATGGCGAAGTCTGTGGGTGGATGGGGTGGTGAGTCTGGTGGGTGGATGGGATGGTGAGTCTGGTGGGTGGATGGGATGGTGAGTCTGGTGGATGGATGGGGTGGTGAGTCTTGTGGGTGGATGGGATGGAGTCTGGTGGGTGGATGGGATGAGTCTGGTGGGTGAATGGGATGGCATGGTCAGCTGGGGGGATGGATGGGATGGTGAGTCTGGTGGATGGATGGGGTGGCGAAGTCTGGTGGGCAGATTGGGTGGTGAGTCTGGTGGGCAGATGGGGTGGCGAAGTCTGGTGGGTGAATGGGGATGGCGAAGTCATTTGGGGTGATGGGTGGATGAAAGTCTGGTGTGGATGGATGGGGTGTGAGAGTCTTGTGGGTGGATGGGGTGGTGAGTCTGGTGGGTGGATGGGGTGAAGTCTGGTGGGCAGATGGGGTGAAGTCTGGTGGGGAGATGTGGGTGGGGTGGAGATGGGAGTCTGGTGGAGGCTGATGGGGTGGGGTGGCTTGAAGTCTGGTGGGTGGATGGGGTGGCTTGAGTCTGGTGGGTGGATGGGATGGCGAAGTCTGGTGGGCAGATGGATTGTGAGTCTGGTGGGCAGATGGGGTGAGTGAGAGTCTGGGGTGGGTAGTCTGGTGGGCTAGTTATGGGGGGTGCAATAGGTGGATGAAGGGGTTGTGAGTCTGGTGGGTGGATGGGGTGGTGAGTCTGGTGGGTGGATGGGGTGGCCGAGTCTGGTGGGCAGATGGGGTGGCGAAGTCTAGTGGGTGGATGGGGTGGCGAGTCCGGCCGGCGGATGGGGTGGCGGGGCAAGTCTGGTGGGTGGATGGGATGGCGAGTCTGGTGGATGGATGGGGTGGCGAGTCTGGTAGGTGGATGGTGTGATGAGTCAGACATGTGGGAGATGCAGTGGTGAGCTAGGTGTTTGTGAGGTGGGGGAGGATGTGTGTGTCAGATGGGTGTATGAGAGTAGTTGGAGAGAGGATAATGTAGGTTGGGTAGGGAGGTCTGTGGATGAGGTTGGGAGATAGATGACGATGATGTAGGTTGGGTAGGGAGGTCTGTGGATGGGGTTGGGAGATAGATGACCATGAAGACTTGGGATCGGTAGGCAATTGAAGTTTAGTTAGTGTGAGTGAGAAGAAAGGGGCATGTGAGTTAGTTTGGTAGGAATTGAATGTATTTGAGGCATGTAACTAACACTTTGTTTTGTTGTTTGTTTCAGATCCTGTTCTCTGAGAAGGAGCATGGCCTACAGAAGCTGAACCTAGCCATCGAAGCTGGTGAAAAGTTGTTCCCTGATACTGCATCACAAGGGCGAGACAAGGTGCGGCAAGACTTGAGGACTGCCAAGGAGGATTGGGAGAAACTCTTCAGTGGTTTGAATGATGCTCAGCGTAAGGTGGACACCTTCCTGATGCAGTGGTCATCATATGCTGATGGCCAGGAGCAGCTGATGCGCTGGTTGATGGAGACAGAGGCGTCGCTGAGGGCAGACATGGATGTGAAGAACACCCTGCAGGAGAAGAGACTGCAGCTACAGAACCACAGGGTGAGTACATACATTGGGAGGAAGGCCCGGATTGTGAAGTGTGCTGTGTCCAGGGCCCACATTGTGAGATGTGCTGTGTACAGGGCCCACATTGTGAGATGTGCTGTGTACACGGCCCGGACTGTGAGATGTGCTGTGTACAGGGCCCACAGATGTGCTGTGTGAGATGTGCTGTGTACAGGGCCCACATTGTGAGATGTGCTGTGTACAGGGCCCACATTGTGAGATGTGCCCACATTGTGAGATGTGCCAGGGCCCACATTGTGAGATGCTGTGTACAGGGCCCACATTGTGAGATGTGCTGTGTACAGGGCCCACATTGTGAGATGTGCATTGTGAGATGTGCTGTGTACAGGCCCACATTGTGAGATGTGCTGTGTACAGGGCCCACATTGTGAGATGTGCTGTGTACAGGGCCCACATTGTGAGATGTGCTGTGTACAGGGCCCACATTGTGAGATGTGCTGTGTACAGGGCCCACATTTGTGAGCCCACATGAGATGTGTGCTGTGTACAGGGCCCACATTGTGAGATGTGCCCACATTGTGAGATGTGCTGTGTACAGGGCCCACATTGTGAGATGTGCTGTGTGCGGTCCACAGGGCCCACATTGTGAGATGTGCTGTGTACAAGGCCCACATTGTGAGATGTGCTGTGTACAGGGCCCACATTGTGAGATGTGCTGTGTACAGGGCCCACATTTGTGAGATGCTGTGTCCAGGGCCCACATTGTACAGGGCCCACATTGTGAGATGTGCTGTGTACAGGGCCCACATTGTGAGATGTGCTGTGTACAGGGCCCACATTGTGAGATGTGCTGTGTCCAGGGCCCACATTGTGAGATGTGCTGTGTCCAGGGCCCACATTGTGAGATGTGCTGTGTCCAGGGCCCACATTGTGAGATGTGCTGTGTCCAGGGCCCACATTGTGAGATGTGCTGTGTACAAGGCCCACATTGAGAGATGTGCTGTGTACACGGCCCGGATTGTGATGTGCTGTGTGTTTAAGGCCTAGATTATAATGTGCTGTGTGTTCAAGGCCTAGATTGTAATGTGCTGTGTGTTCAAGGCCTAGATTGTAACGTGCTGTGTTTTTCAGTCATTGCTGCAAGACATCACTTCCCACCAGCGTCTTGTGGACTCAGTTGTGGAGAAGGCCCAGGGTGTCCTCCACAGCACATCTAACTCAGATGTCGCCACCTTCATCACCACCATCACCTCTAGATACGAGAAACTGGCTACAGATGCAAAGGTCAGTTACATAGTGCCTGATTGACTTTGATAATGAAGTTCTTATCCAGTTCTTAGTCAGTTTGATTTAAAACACTTAGGAGGCAGACATCATTCTCAGTAGAAGGTTCATTGTCAGTCCTATATATTGTCTGCGTAGTTGTCACAACATGTATGTCTTTAAATGTAAAACTTGGCACTTAGCTGGCAGGAAGTTGAAGGTTCAGAGAGAATATTCAATTCTAGCTACCAGTACTTCGGTATTTTGCCTGTGATTGTGGACAGTCTTTAAATGTGCCTCTGTCAGACTTGATGATGTCAGTCTGCCCATGTTCATGTTTCTCCTGTGACTCCAGATGCTGATCGGCAAGTCGGAGCAGAACGTCGTGCACCACCAGAACTACCATGACTCCCTGCAGTCTGTGCTGGACTGGCTGACTCAGGCTAAGGACAAGCAGAGCATCTGTGCCGACACTTCCGGGGACCGCCTCACCATCCAGACCAAGCTGGACCGGCTGCATGTCAGTACACTCCATATGCTTGTCCAGGTGTTAGTGGGCCTGAAGCAACCTAGTATTTACCTGTAATATAGAAAACATGGTTGTGAACTCTTCCTTTCTTTCCTCAATACAAATAAGACTGACATCAAACTATGGTAATGTGGTGTATGTGTGACAATGTCTACAAGAACATGGGCCCAGTACATCATGCTAACTGACTTCTCTATGGAAAAACATTTGACGTGTCAAGTTTATAAATAAGTAATCAGGTTTGAATTACATGTGACTGAAAAGTGTTAATCCTGAAACAAATTGATTGTGAAACAAATTGTCTGCAATGGTGAGATTATAATCTGTTCACGGTCATCTTTATACTCTTGGCATGAACTAAAGTAACCAGTAGCATTTTTCATATTCCTAATTTCTTATACAGGAGCTGGTGACAACAGTACCAGATGGGGTGACAAAGGTCAAGGAGTGCGAGCAGAATGCCGAGTTGACAATGGACACAACTGCCATGAAGGGTCGTCAGACAATCCAGCAGGAGCTGGATGTCCTGCGACTCGACTGGGGGGACTATACTTCCAAGCTGTCCTCTCTCAAAGAGAATCTGGAGAGAGCCCTCCACTACTGGGTCATCTATGAGGAGAAATATGACAAGGTCACGTCCTGGGTCAAGGACATGGAGAAGCAGGTCAAGGAAGTGCCGCTGAGATCCACAATCGAAGAGAAACAGGAGCAACACTCTGTCTGCCAGGTATGCTGGGTTACGTCACAGGAAGTGACATCATGGAGGGGGCAGATGTGTCTGCTTTTCTTTAATCTAAGTTTGATTCTCGTTTTATGTACGCATTATTATTGTTTGACAATTGGCTGTGACCATTAGCTTATTTGTTTCAGCTTAAATTTCATTGCCAAAGTCAAGTACTTGACATATTGAGAGATTCTTGAAAATATTTTATAGTTTGCCTTAATGTTGTATTTTCATTTGGAATGCTCACCAAGTCTGTAAAGTGTGGAGATATCAGTACTAGACGTCTGTATGTTGATGCCATACACTGGCTGTTGGGGTTGGTGTAGGTGTTGATGTTGCTGATTGTTGTTGTTGCCACCACCAGGACATGATGGAGACAATCTCCCATGAGGTTGATGTAGTCGCAGCAGCCGACCAGCGGGACATTGTAAGCCAGGCTCCCTTTGACATAGTCCAGCTTGGCATGTGGGATGGGAAATGTCACAAACACCTCATTTGCTCATTCTGCTTCTTGTCGCTGTTGTCTCTATTGCCAGCTGGCATGCTCAAGGGCTATAACTGGAAAGCTGTGCTTATGTACTCAATTATGAATTATCATTTGAAAAATCATATTCTCAGTGGAATGGTTAAACTGTTGTTGTCTTTGGGAATGTTTCATGGCAGACTAGCAGCACAGCTTTTGATTGATAACCCTTGATATAATTAGTATGACTCACTTGACCAATGACTTCCATGTCCCTAAGTCCCTTTGACTCTGGTTCCAATGTCACTGTTCTCACATTTAATCTGACTACCAATCACCAGTCCACCAGTCTTAGTACCATCCCAACACTTAGTCCCATCCTTCAGCTCCCTCGCCCATATTCCATCCCATCCTTCAGCTCCCTCGCCCATATTCCGTCCCATCCTTCAGCTCCCTCGCCCATATTCCATCCCATCCTTCAGCTCCCTCGCCCATATTCCGTCCCATCCTTCAGCTCCCTCGTCCATATTCCGTCCCATCCTTCAGCTCCCTCGCCCATATTCCGTCCCATCCTTCAGCTCCCTCGCCCATATTCCATCCCATCCTTCAGCTCCCCTCAGCCCCTTCTCCATCCTTCAGCTCCCTCGCCCATATTCCATCCCATCCTTCAGCTCCCTTTGCCCATATATTCCATATTCTCCCATCCTTCAGCTCCCTCGCCCATATTTCCCATCCTTCAGCTCCTCCTTCATTCTTGTCCCATCCTTCAGCTCCTCGCCCCATATTCCATCCCATCCTTCAGCTCCTCAGCCCATATTCCATCCCATCCTTCAGCTCCTCGCCCATATTCCATCCCATCCTTCAGCTCCCATATTCCCATCCCATATTCCTATATTCCGTCCTCCCCATCCTTCAGCTCCCTCAGCCATATTCCATCCCATCCTTCAGCTCCCTCGCCCATATTCCATCCCATCCTTCAGCTCCCTCGCCCATATTCCATCCCATCCTTCAGCTCCCTCGCCCATATTCCGTCCCATTCTCATGTACCTATACCCATCCTCTGCAACCCATATCAGTCTCCAAGTGCCATCCTCTAGTCACTGGGGCAGTGGGGTAGCCCAGTGGCTAAAGCATTCGCTCGCTATGCAGAAGACCCAGGTTCGATTCCCAACATAGGTGCAATGTGTGAAGCCCATTTCTGGTGTCCCCCACTGTGATATTGCTGGAAGATTGCTTAAAGCAGCATAAAACTCACTCACTCAAACCACTGGTCCCCATACTCATCCTCATTGCCAGACCATTGGTCCTCGCACCTGTCTGTACTCCCCTTTCCTTCTAGGTCCCCATCATTTGGTCCTCGCACCTGCCTGTACTCCCCTTTCCTTCTAGGGTTCCCCATCATTTGGTCCTCATTTTGTCAAGCACCTGTGACCTCCTTCTGTATCTCCCCTTTCCTTCTAGGTCCCCTGTCCTCGCACCTGCCTGTACTCCCTTTCCCCTAGGTCCCCATCATTTGGTCCTCTGTACTCCCCTTTCCTTCACCTGCCTGTACTCCCCTTTCCTTCTAGGTCCCCATCATTTGGTCCTCACACCTGCCTGTACTCCCCTTTCCTTCTAGGTCCCCATCATTTGGTCCTCACACCTGCCTGTACTCCCCTTTCCTTCTAGGTCCCCATCATTTGGTCCTCACACCTGCCTGTACTCCCCTTTCCTTCTAGGTCCCCATCATTTGGTCCTCACACCTGTACACCTGTCCTCACACCTGCCTGTACTCCCCTTTCCTTCTAGGTCCCCATCATTTGGTCCTCACACCTGCCTGTACTCCCCTTTCCTTCTAGGTCCCCATCATTTGGTCCTCACCTGCCTGTACCTGTCCCCATCATTTGGTCCTCACACCTGCCTGTCCTTCACTTTCCTTCTAGGTCCCCATCATTTGGTTCCAACAACCCAAGGAGTCAAGGCTGTGGGTTTCAGTATGCATGGCTATCAGCACCAGATTGGCAGTGCTGGATGCTTTATCAAGTTACTCTATATTTGTGCATGATTACAAGGTTGTTTATGATGCAGATGGTTCTCATCTTCTAAAGCATGGATGGAGAGGCTTGAGTTATTCATACATGGCTCATAACAAATTTTACTTCATTCTTCTGTCCTCCGGAACAGACACTGCTTTATCTCATGCTAACGTCTGCTGCGGCTGCTCTGTTTGTCATCTGTCATGTGCTAGCCGTAGTGTAGAAGCTGGTAGCCTCCTCTGGGGGACCAGGAGAGGAGTAGTCCTATGTCAAGGTGGCATGGAACAGTGTAGAGCAGTGGCATAACAAGTAATATATCAAGTCCGCATCAAAACTGTTTTACTAATCACCATCAACTAATCATCATAGCATCAGTATCATGTGTGAAGATTGAGCCATGTTTGTATACAGTTCATGGTCAGTAAATTCTGCTATCACTCACATGTGCTTATTTACAGTTCATAAGGACAACGAACGTTTCATTTTATCATCCTAAACATCAACCTTTCTGCTCTCAATCTCACAACTGTTCTCCATCATACACAGTGATCTCACAGGTGATATTTTGGCCACTGGAAGGACATTGCTGACTTCCTGTCCAACTGAAGCAGCTCACAGCATGAATTTGCATGTTCCATATTCCGGCCTCTTCGGGTTCATTTGTCTACCAATAGATAAAGCTTTACTCTTGAGAAATTTAAGTGTTTTCTGCCTTCATTTGTGTTGTTCATAAAAGTTGTATGACGTGACCTACATATTTCTAAAGGAGCGTTGACACCATCACATGTAACTTTATTGGATTATATTTATTGTCTGTTTATAATACTATCATTTTTTATGGCATTACCAGGAGCTAATGCAAGAGATCAGAGGTAAGCAGCGTGACATCGACAAGTTCTCAGATGACGCACAGACTCTTCAGCAGCTAACCGGGGAGACACGCGTCGGGAACTTTGTGTCGCAGCTGTCAAACAGATACCAGACTCTGCTCACAAACACAAAGGTAATGAAGGCTGCATGTCTGATATGTAGTGACACCTTATGCATGTTTCAGTTTGTAGTCATCAGTCGTCTATTAATCCTATGACAAGCCGACTGAGACTCAGTCATTAACTGCCTCGACATTAAAACAGATTCTGAAAGTAATTTTGGATGACTAAGCAAAGTATGAAGCCCTGGTATGCCTGCTTGTTTACAGGACCTGATCAAGAAGTCCGGGCCAGAATGTGGACGACCACAAACAGTTCCGGGACAAGTACACAGACTGTGCTCAGTGGCTTGCCAAAGCAAAGGCCAAGTTTGCCGAGTGTTCCGACTCGGGCGGGTCCCGAGCTGAGCTGGAGACAAGGCTTGAGAGAGCTCAGGTGAGGAATGGAGTCTTTGTATGGAAAGTGGAATGAATGATGTCTTTGTAGATGCAAGTATTGAAAATACATGCTGAATGCTGAATATGTTCTAAAGTTGTGTTTTGTTGTAGGACCTGTTGCGAGAGCGGGATGCTGGTTTTGGCAAGCTGAGTGCAGTGATCGAATGTGGTGAGAGGCTGTACCCCACGACTGCGCCGGACGGCAGAGAGAGCATCCGACAGGACCTGAGGCGACTCAAGATGGACTGGGAGTCTCTGTTTGATGACCTCTCTGCCGTTCAGCGCAAACTGGAGGTAGCCTTGGTGCAGTGGACGTCCTTTGATGACAGCTACAGCCAGGTGGGCAACTGGCTGCGCGAAATGGAGCTGCAGCTGGAGGGGCCTATTGTCTTCCGGGCCACGCTGGAGGAGAAGAAGTCACAGCTGCTCAACTACAAGGTGTGTTGGGGAACCTGGGGCTTTGGTGAATTTTCTTGATGTAGATGATTTCTTAAAGCAACATGTCTGGTCCATCTTCTGGCTTATATTCCTCCTATGCGGGTGGGTGTGTCGTCAGATATTGTCAAATTACTATAACATAGTTACTTCCCCATGTTACAGATTGACCTTCTTCGTGTTACAGGTATTTTCCCCTTGTTACACAGTCATCTCTGCTTGTGTTTCAGGCCCTCCACCAGGATGTGCTGTCCTACCAGCGTGTGATGGATAGCATCACAGACAAGGCGCAGTCTCTAGCACAGAGCAGCAGTGATCCCCAGCTGGCGGCATTCATCTCTCAGACCAGCACTCGCTACAAGAAACTCTGCACTGCCGCCAAGGTAATCAGACAGAAAATACTCCAAGACATGCCAAATGTTCCACCCTATGATCTCATGTTGGCATTGTTTATTTGAGCTGCTATGAGACTGTTGCCTTGGTTGCAGGAACGTGTGCAGCAGTACGACACCTTTGTGACTGACCACCAGCTGTACAACGACGCCTACAATGCCTGTGTGGAGTGGCTCAACAGTATCCGAGAGAAACTGTCCGTGTGCTCAGATGTGTCCGGGGATCGCCATGCCATCCAGAGCAGACTGGACAAGATACAGGTAGGTCCCACAGATACCAGGGGGGAAATACCATTGAAAGATCTCATAGATTTGGAAAGATGACATAGATGTTGGAAGATGTAGAAAATGTTGGAAGATGTAGAAAATGTTAGAAGATGTTGAAAGATGTAGTACATAAGTGAAATATATTTATTACTATGTTTGAAGAGAGGAATTATTGTCAACATGAAATAGTTGTTACTTTACAAACAAATATGTTTTGTTTCTTATGCTACTGAGAGAGATGAAAGCTGCGTATGTCTATTTTGTTGATAGCCTTCATCGGGACACTTAGGGCTATACTGGGAGATGCCAGTAAGACTATTTGTTGCCTCAGACACACTGTCCTCATTATTACTTTTGAGCTGCTGAATTAAACATTAACTGGTGCTGACCAACTGCTTCCATCTGGGTGTTAATCTTGTACTTTGTGTTGATGTTTGCGTGTGACTTGTTGGCAGTTTGACTAATCTATCCCATGATTCCTCTCTCTCCCGACAGAGACGATGTGTAAGTGGTTAACTGCGTGGTTTTCTCTCTAGTTTCTTGGCTAGGCAGCATCTTATCGCCACCCATCATCTCATTGTACCCCAGCATTAACGTCATCGCGGCCCTCATCTAATGAAATCCAGGAATGCAACATAGTTGAGATTCTTTAGATTATTTCTGCTAACTGAGGAGGTAGTCCTCGTAACCTAGAAGGATAGGCTGTCACAGAACTAAATCTGTAGACTACAGACCGCCTTGTCACTTGAGATTCAGTGGACGCTGTGGAAACAAGGCCTGTATTGGGTGTTGCCTATGGTGTAATGGCTAGACTATTTCTGAAAGTTTAATGACCTCATGCTGCATCACTTACAGCATCACACGGAACACATGACTTTACAACTGGACATCAGTATGTTTTGCATTTATATATGTATGGAGGAAAAGAATAATGCCATACAAATTGTTTGGCCAACCAATCAAATGCTTTGAATCACTTATGGTATATTTGAAACACTTATCATTTCCATCTACAGTCATTTTTGTCCTGAAATTCAGACATAAAGCTGTGATACATCCTAAGTTTGCTAGCATTATATATCTGATTCATTCTCTGGCTCATGCACTTGCCTCAAGATGTCCATACCACTGTGTAGCAGTTACCTCCCCTGGTGAGCTACGCAATTTTGTAGTTCTAGTTCTAGATGTCAGAAACTAACTTAGACATAATGAATATACCTGGATTGAATAATACTTATAGTTTAAACACAGTGTCACAGCTGTATTTGTGCAATAAGAAATGTAAACACAGGGATATCACACAGTAAATGACTTTGGTAAATGACATATCTGCCATTTCCTTGTGGGAGTTTCAAGGCTGTATGGGTGTTGTCCCACATTTTGCTGGAGGGGGCATGGCCTCTGGTGGTTGGGTGGATAGAGCTGCTGCCCAGTGACCAGAATGTTGGTGTTCAATCCCCAGCTGAGCTGAGATGTTAAACGATGGAGCATGTTGTTACCCTGCCTGTCTTCCAGCATGTAGGGGATGAAACAAGGACTGGTCGGCTCAGTCAGTGTATTGTGTCTGAGTGGGGTACACATGTTAAACTGGGACAAGGTATTCAGTGTGCAAACACTATAAAACTGTCATTACTACTGCAGACAAGCAGCCACACATACATATGTTCAGGCACATCTGTGTGCAGGTGTCATCTTGGACACGACATTCAAACCTCTTTCTCCACACCTCATATTCTGCTGCTGCTGGTGGTGGTGGTGGTGGTTGTACAGACTCTCCAGAGCAGTGGACCTCTTGCTTGTCCTGTTGCTGGTGGTTGTACAGACTCTCCAGAGCAGTGAACCTCTTGCTTGTCCTGTTGCTGGTGGTTGTACAGACTCTCCAGAGCAGCAGACTCCATGCTTGTCCTGTTGCTGGTGGTTGTACAGACTCTCCAGAGCAGTGGACCTCATGCTTGTCCTGTTGCTGGTGGTTGTACAGACTCTCCAGAGCAGCGGACTCCATGCTTGTCCTGTTGCTGGTGGTTGTACAGACTCTCCAGAGCAGTTGACTCCATGCTTGTCCTGTTGCTGGTGTGGACTCTCCAGAGCAGTTGACTCCATGCTTGTCCTGTTGCTGGTGGTTGTACAGACTCTCCAGAGCAGTGGACCTTATGCTTGTCCTGTTGCTGGTGTGGACTCTCCAGAGCAGTGGACCTCATGCTTGTCCTGTTGCTGGTGTGGACTCTCCAGAGCAGTGGACCTTATGCTTGTCCTGTTGCTGGTGTGGACTCTCCAGGGCAGTTGACTCCATGCTTGTCCTGTTGCTGGTGTGGACTCTCCAGAGCAGTGGACCTCGTGCTTGTCCTGTTGCTGGTGTGGACTCTCCAGAGCAGTGGACCTCATGCTTGTCCTGTTGCTGCTGTGGACTCTCCAGAGCAGGGGACCTTATGCTTGTCCTGTTGCTGGTGTGGACTCTCCAGAGCAGCGGACTCCATGCTTGTCCTGTTGCTGGTGTGGACTCTCCAGAGCAGGACTCCATGCTTGTCCTGTTGCTGGTGTGGACTCTCCAGAGCAGTGGACCTCATGCTTGTCCTGTTGCTGCTGTGGACTCTCCAGAGCAGGGGACCTTATGCTTGTCCTGTTGCTGGTGTGGACTCTCCAGAGCAGCGGACTCCATGCTTGTCCTGTTGCTGGTGTGGACTCTCCAGAGCAGCGGACTCCATGCTTGTCCTGCTGCTGGTGTGGACTCTCCAGAGCAGTGGACCTCATGCTTGTCCTGTTGCTGCTGTGGACTCTCCAGAGCAGGGGACCTTATCTTGTCCAGAGCAGTGGACTCTCCAGAGCAGTGGACCTTATGCTTGTCCTGTTGCTGGTGTGGACTCTCCAGAGCAGTGGACTCCATGCTTGTCCTGTTGCTGGTGTGGACTCTCCAGAGCAGTGGACCTTATGCTTGTCCTGTTGCTGGTGTGGACTCTCCAGAGCAGTGGACCCCATGCTTGTCCTGTTGCTGGTGTGGACTCTCCAGAGCAGTGGACCTTATGCTTGTCCTGTTGCTGGTGTGGACTCTCCAGAGCAGTGGACCTTATGCTTGTCCTGTTGCTGGTGTGGACTCCCAGAGCAGCGGACTCCATGCTTGTCCTGTTGCTGCTGCTGGTTGTTGTGTGGACCTAAATGGCAGGCAGTTGCTAGCTTGTACTGCTGGTGTGAACGTTTCAGACCAACGGACTCCATGCTTGTCATCAAAGACAACTAACTAGGGGCCAGTGACAAAACTGTGATAGTATAGTATTTCCCAGCTCACATTCATACCTCAAAACACTGCAGGTGCAAAGATAGCTCTAAAAGTGAGCAGCATGCATGAAACACTTCCCATATGCATGTAGAAACAGTCTGATGCATGCCAACTAATAACTAGCTATGTATATTATATCCAACAATAACATGCATGAGAACTAATAAGATACTGACTGTAACTGCATGGTTTATGGTCTGGGCTGCATCAAGCCTCCAAGTGATTAGTTTCAACATCAGCTGTCTGTTATGCTATGAGTGATGCACTGTAGCAGTGTGCCTCATGCTTGATGCAGCCCTTCACAAGTCTCTGCGTTGGGTACAAGTTACTAACAAGTAGTGTCTAGCAGACATAGCCATGAGGTAACTGCTAGTCATGTTTGCTTTGTGTGTGGCTGCTTTGGCCTTCTCAGATTGCCCCCATGCTTGTTTGACTTTAGATCTGCCTAGAGGGTATTTGAAGGTTGTGTGGAGGGAATATTTATCAAACTGCATGTTTACAATATCAAACATTAAATGCAACCAGCTTCACTAATGAATATATTGACAAGCTTGTAAAGTGGTTAAAGAGCATGAATTAAGTGTATGTTTCCACTGTATCCAAGGGGCAGTAGACTGGGTTCACTGTGTGAGCTTCAACTTGTCTTCTTGTCTGTTAGGACATACTGGCCACCAAGATGGAGGGAGAGCCCCGTGTGAAGAATGTGACTCAGCTTGCCGAGAAGGTGCTGCCAAACACAGCCCCACAGGGAAAGGACATCATCCGCAGGGAGACAGAGGCCTTGAAGGACGACTGGGAGGCATTCATCACAGCCCTTGCCAAGGTACGGACTGGTCTAACGTCTGAGTTCAAGGCACAGACTTATGGAACACCACAAGACAATGTTATATTCACTGAGAGATAACTGGATTAAGAAGTAGCATTATTATGACTTCATCCAGGTTTAGTATCATGCAGATCTATTCTTTATGTGTCTGTTATTGATCATGTCAGTTTTATCGACTAACTGTGGCACTTGCTGTATCATAGCTACGGCTTTCCATTGGCAAATAAATTGTGTTGCAATATATCGTGATACAGGGATCCATATTGTGTTACATTGGGATGGAAAGTGTTTGACTGTGAGTGACACTGACTGTACATGCAAATCCTAGTTTCTAAATAATAGGGCCCAAATGAAGGAAGGATATCAGGAATGTCAATATTAGGTTTGATAGTAAGGGATTCCAGCATAGCCCATGCTGATATGCCTATACCCACTGTGTTGTATCCCACAGACCAAGACTGACCTGGAGACTTGCATGGACCAATGGAAAGAGTTTGAGAATTGGCATGATCGCTGTGCAACCTGGATCAAAGACTCTGAGAGCCGACTCCGTGATGCTGACCTCAAGGCCACACTTCAAGACAAACAGGCTCAGCTGGAGAAACTCAAGGTCAGACTATAAATGTCATCATATGTGTCTCATGTTATCCATTACTTTGCATCCCATGCATTTCTGTCATACACAAATCCCCACTGAGGAAAACTGATCTTCCGTTTGTGCTACAGGCTCTTCAGGCAGACGTTGCCGAGCACCAGTCGGACCTGGACTCTCTCAGTGACTCTGCCCAGGACCTGGTGAGACTGAGCTCCGACACCCGAGTTGTGTCCCAGGCCTCTCAGCTGGCCACCAAGTACCACTCACTCACTGTCAACGTCAAGGTGAGAATACACCAGATCCTTCCAAGTGATACAGATGATACTTTGATACTTTGAAACCATAATGCATTCCATGGATTTCTATTTAGAAATGCTACAGGTAGATGCTTATAGTTGAATGTGTATCCATAACTATCATATGAAAGGTAGGGAAGTAACTCATTCTTATATATGTGTAGCAGAAATCTGTGTATCTGAAAGCAGCACATGAACACGAGGTTGGCGTGTTACAGGAACTGTGTCGGCGCTGGGAACAGTATGTCGTGGACCATCAGGCTTACACCCAGTCCTTCCAGCAGTGCAAGAACTGGATAGGTCAGATGAAGGTGAAGGTTGCCGGTGCTGGCGACGTGACAGGTGACAAGATGACCGTGCAGGACAAGATCAAGGACATCCAGGTTGGGACACCATGCTGTTTAACACATTAATTGCACACATGCAATACAAGTCTATGAGAATATTTACTCACATGGGATGCAAACCAACATGTTGGAAGTCTCTTTGTATACTAGAGAGATTTTTAAAAATATTAAGTATCTTGTGGTCCTGTTTTTGGTGTGCAAAGTTTATTTCAACCCCATGTAATATTATATCTGTATACCAAATAAGTTGAATCTAGTGACTGGCATCAAGAGAATCAATCTGTGTAGATGGGATACAATGACTTTCATCAATCAAATCAGTGAAGCAAATCCTATACTTGCCATTTTTGAAGACCATTTTTAACTCCAGTCTTCCAGCAGAGGTTGTATTTGTTGTCATGAGTGTGATGCTTTTCTTCAGAATCTGATCTCTGAGAAAGAAGAAGGTCTGCACATGCTGCAGATAGCTCTGGACAACCTGCAGGTTGTGCTGCCAAACACGTCCGTGACCGGCCGGGACAACATGCGAAGGGACATGCAGTCCCTACAGCAGGAGTTTGACTCCGTTGCTGGTGACCTGAACGAAACAAGGACCAACTTGGAGGGATGTCTAGCTCAGTGGACTGTGTACGATGACAGTTTTGACCAACTGCAACGGTGGCTTTGCGACCTTGAGAACCAGGTGGAGGCAGATTCCCAGCTGCAGAACACGCTGCAGGAGAAGAAACTACAGCTGGATAGGGTCAAGGTCAGTCACTTTGATTAAATATAGATATCTGGTTAACTGTTAGCAGAGATTTAGCTTTTTAAGTGTGTGAAACAATGTACTGAGTTTACTGTTATGTTGTGTACAGGTGTTACAGCTGAACATCAGTTCCCAACAGAGCACTATAGACAACATGAACGACAAGGCCAACACACTGAGACAAACCAGCAAGGACGTGAATCTCAGCAACCAGATCCACCAAATTGTGGCTCGTTATGAAACACTGAAGATTAAAGCCAAGGTAATGTGCTGTAATATTACTACATATATGTGTTCATTGAATGTTCAATCACCCAGACACAGTTTGATTGAAGGAAACTGACACTGTTATTTTGTCAAACAGGACCTTCTACAGAAGTGTGAGACCAACCTTCGAGACCACCAGCTGTACCGGGACTCCTACATGGAGGCCACTGACTGGCTGAGTGCCACCAAGGACCGCCTGAACCTGTGCAGTGATGTGCGCGGAGACCGCCATGCCATCGAGGCCCAGCTCCACAAAGTGCAGGAGATCTGCAACTCAGTGGAGGCTGGACACAAGAAGCTGAGCGCCGTCTTGGAGAAGGGCAACAAGGTGCTGCCAGAGACATCCATGCAGGGGCAGGAGCTGGTCAAACAGGAGCTGGACATGTTGTCTGGGGAGTTCAAGGTGCTGGACACGGACCTGCAGGACCTCCTCAACCTCCTGGGTGAGTCTTGGAATACACTGGGCAGGCTTATACAAGGTGTGCTAGCCCTGTTCCACAGAAATAACACTGGAACAGAACCCATTATATTATTACAGGTTATTGTTGCAAAAGTTTGATTTATCCAAGTATTTGACTTTTGTCACTGCTGTTGTTTTCTTCAGAGAACCTGCGAGACCAGTGGCACCGTTACGAGGAATACTACGATGACTTAAGTCACTGGATCAAAGACACAGAGGCTGACATGAAAGCCGACTCAGAACAGAAGGCCACACTGGAGGATAAGGGTATCCAGATGGACAAACAGAAGGTATATAAGAAGGATGTATGGTCATCAAGGGGAGATAAAGCAGGGAAAATTCATGCTGGCTCGGATTGTGTAAACTGCTTAATTGGTACATATCACTGCCAGTCTAGAGTAGTAGAAATGTGGAGCAGTTAGGTGCTTGTCAAGTTTTGAACTGATGGTGTCTGTCTCTATGACAGTTTGTTCAGCTTGACGTATATATATGATTTCACAATAAAGTGTTACTTGCTGCAGGCTGTGCATGAGGAGATCCTCCACCATCAGACTGCGTTTGATGGTCTGGCAGAGCAGGCCCAGATCCTCATGCAGTCCTCCAAGGACAGCCGTGTGTCCACCCAGCTCACGCAGATGAGCTCCAGGTACTCCGCACTCATTACACTCTCCAAGGACCTGATGAAGCGCTATGAGCAGCACGTTCAGGACCATGAGCAGTATGCAGATGTTTACAATGATGCCATCTCCTGGCTCCAGTCAACACGGGACAGACTCTCAGTGTGTGCCGACACTTCAGGTGACCGATACACCATACAGGCCCAGCTGGAGAAACTGCAGGTGAGGAATCAGGACATGGATCAGGACTCCACCCTCAGTAGTTTACAAGGGTACCTAGGCAACCGACTCAATAATCTGGACAGCTGGGCTGTAAACAGTTGACATGCTAGTGTCCAGACGAAAGATTTACTCATTTCTTTTGTTCAGGCTTCCGGTGATAATATTGCAAAGATTGTAATCAGCCTCAGAAATTCATGAAGGTAGTTGGATGATGTGTGGATGTTTGAGATGAACCTAGGGATAGTTCAGATGGGCAGTTTGATGATGTGTGGATGTTTGAGATGAACCTAGGGATAGATCAGATGGGCAGTTTGATGATGTGTGGATGTTTGAGATGAACCTAGGGATAGTTCAGATGGGCAGTTTGATGATGTGTGGATGTTTGAGATGAACCTGGGGATAGATCAGATGGGCAGTTTGATGATGTGTGGATGTTTGAGATGAACCTGGGGATAGATCAGATGGGCAGTTTGATGATGTGTGGATGTTTGAGATGAACCTGGGGATAGATCAGATGGGCAGTTTGATGATGTGTGGATGTTTGAGATGAACCTGGGGATAGATCAGATGGGCAGTTTGATGATGTGTGGATGTTTGAGATGAACCTGGGGATAGATCAGATGGGCAGTTTGATGATGTGTGGATGTTTGAGATGAACCTGGGGATAGTTCAGGTGGGTAGTTTGATGATGTGTGGATGTTTGAGATGAACCTAGGGATAGATCAGATGGGCAGTTTGATGATGTGTGTGGATGTTTGAGATGAACCTGGGGATAGATCAGATGGGCAGTTTGATGATGTGTGGATGTTTGAGATGAACCTGGGGATAGATCAGATGGGCAGTTTGATGATGTGTGGATGTTTGAGATGAACCTGGGGATAGATCAGATGGGCAGTTTGATGATGTGTGGATGTTTGAGATGAACCTGGGGATAGATCAGATGGGCAGTTTGATGATGTGTGGATGTTTGAGATGAACCTGGGGATAGATCAGATGGGCAGTTTGATGATGTGTGGATGTTTGAGATGAACCTGGGGATAGATCAGATGGGCAGTTTGATGATGTGTGGATGTTTGAGATGAACCTGGGGATAGTTCAGGTGGGTAGTTTGATGATGTGTGGATGTTGTAGGAGTTCACGGTGCTGAAGGAGGAGGGTCAGGCCTTGCTGCATACAGCACACACCTGGGGGGAGAAGACCATGGCCAACACATCGGTGACTGGGCGGGAGATGATCCGGCAAGACCTTGGTCAACTGCAGACCGACTGGGCCAACCTGCTGAGTGAGGTGTCTGACACGAAGGTGCTGCTGGAGGCATGTCTGCTACGCTGGACGGAGTTCAGTGACAGCAATGACCAGGTGCTGCGCTGGCTGAAGGACATGGAGAAGAAACTAAGGGAAGCACAACCCAAAGCTGACATTGGTGAAAAGCGAGCTGAGCTTCAGAGAGTCAAGGTGAGACTGTGGAGTATCTGATGTGTGAAAACTTTACTATCAGTTTGATGCATCAGGAAGTGTTCAGTGATGCTGATCACCCTTCGGGAAGGAAGACTTTATTGTAAGTGCTTGTGAATATTTTGTGAATGTCAGAACTGGACTGGAATTTGTTAAATGTTCAGATGTTCCTTGTTATTATGATGTCTGTCTGCACACTTGGTGAAGTTGCTTTGCTCATGCTGTGTATCGTTGTTGCAGGTGCTGTACCAGGACATCGTCTCCTACGAGCAGATGGTGGAATCTGTGTCCAGTAAGGCCCATGGTTTGGCTGAGAAGAGTTCAGCTAGTCAGTCATCCACCGACACCTCACAGATTGCATCACGCTATGCCACTGTGAAGGAACAGGCTCAGGACCTGCTCGCCCGCAATGAGCAGTATGTAGCCAACCACCAGGACTACATCGACGCATGTAGCAACTTCGTATCCTGGCTGCGCACTGCCATTGAGAAGCTGGCAACATGCTCAGACACATTTGGCGAGAGATCTGTCATCGAGGGGAAAATAGAGAGAGTGCAGGTCAGTAATGTACAGGTGTCATCATCTTGTGTTTTGGTACAGAGCTGCAACTTATTGCCCCCTTGGATGATGGGTCAGATTAGGTCCCATGTAACCTACTGTACTAGTGCTAGTTTATATGCCCTGTCCATAACACAACCCTAAACAAAGCACATCATGTAAGCATACAAAATCCCTAAATTGTAATAGGAACCTGTCTGCAATTATGCAGAATGTGTTTAGTATGAACGAGGAATTGTCTGCAAATGGAAGATTATATGTCAAATTAGCTCATAGTTGTTGGAACAGTGATTCTGACATGTTCAGAGTTACTGGTAAACATCAACAGTGGCTTGATGTGACCAGTTGAAATAAATGTTTGATCCTCTACCTCCGTTGTCTCTGGTTGCTGATCGTGCAACAATAAAAATATGAGTAAACACCATCATCAGCCAGACTAATCTCTTCTGGTTACAATGTTTCACTAACACAGTGTCATGTAGCATTGCCCACTCCATCAATGGCTGGTTTGTCTCATTCAGTCTACATTTCTCCACAAGTTGGCCACATGATTCTCCACATGCTTAGATTAATTCTGTCTTGCACAACTTGTTGTAGTGACCTATGACCTTCTCATACCCCTCTAAAGAGGGTGTGAGGATTTAATGTCTTGCAAGTAGACTCGCTTAGACAAGGATCACATAGGGGTTGCCCAAGGACATGGCAGTCCAATGAAACAGTGGTGTTTGTTGAGCCTGAGCCAAGGCCTGTATTGACTGGCAGTCATGCATGCAGATTACTGGTTGATTATAGGATTATATTCTGCTTGGGGTATTGCAGTGAGGATTAACACAGCTGGATGTCAGAGTTGACACATTCTGGACTGGGATTATCCATGTGGAAATGAGCTCTTGTGTCTTGAAACATTGGAGCAGTTGAATCATGTCAACGTCAGCATACAGCCTGGCCACACTCTCCAGGCCAACATGGTGTGAGATGGTGTGAAGCCTCAGTGGAGGACAGATGAAACGTCTCATTAAACAGGAGTACTACTAGTACCAGTGACTTGCAATGAAGGAGGTGCACCACAGTACCCACGACATGACCTTGGGTATTGACACTGTGGTCGTGGCTGGGGAAGAGGGTGGGGAGGAGGAGGTCACCCAGACAACTGTCTCCCAAACATATGGATGTTCTAGAACACATACTTGGTCCTTGGACAGGTCTGGAACATCTTCACATCTGACTTCTGACATTATTGTGACATATGACTCCTGTCCAGGCAGCTATGCACAGGATGAGATTTGTTCCAATGGACTGAACTCCAATGTTCCAGATCTGGATCCCATTAGTGCTAGGCTTATTGCCATGTCCCTGGAGATAGGGCCCTACTCCTTATCCACTGTGATGAAGGCAAGAACCTGTGGAATGCCTGCTGTTAGTCATGTTCAAGTGATATCGGTAATAAGTTATCTATGAACTGAAATCAATGTTGTAACCCCAGTGTTTTCTTTTTCCAGTCACTGCTGCACAACCTCTCGGAGGGCACCCAGAGACTGTCTCATGCAACCAAGGCAGGGGAAGCTACTCTGCCCAGCACATCACCACAGGGGCAGACAAGGATGCGCCAGGAGCTGCAGGCCATGCACAAAGACTTTGAGGAGTTCCGGGGTCAGCTGGTGCAGGCGCAGTCCGACCTAGAAGTGTGTCTCACTCGGTGGGAGGAGTTTGAGGAGAGCTTCCAGACATTCGGTCAGTGGCTTAAGGAGACTGAGAATCAGGTGCGGTCTGAGCTGGACTTGAAGACGACCGTGGAAGAAAAGAAACTACAGTGGGAGTTGTACCAGGTGAGATGGATTGACTTGTCAGGCTATATGCATAGCGATCATTCATTGTACTGTCATACTGTATATGTTTTTAGCACCAGTCTTTATCGATTACTCTCCCATTTTGCAGCGCCACCTGGAAGAGATCATCTCCCACCAGTCAGCTCTGGACCGTGTCAGTGAGAGGGCTCAGGCCTTGCTGCAGACCAACGCTGATGCCAAGACATCGCACGCCATTACGCAAATCACCACCCGATACCAGTCTGTCATCGCCCACTGCAAGGTGTGTACACAGCACTGTGGCAGGACAGAGCTACTGTTATGTATTCAGCATTAAAGAAATGTATATTTGTCAGAGAAAATATAGAATATGACAGCTCCTTGGATGTCTCAAATGTCTGTTTGTTCACAGGACATTGTCTGTAACTTGGAGTTCTACTTCACCAACCACATGGATTACAAACAGAGCCTACAGCAGTTTCAAGCGTGGCTGAGGGAAACACGACAACGGATTCGGTCCCTGGAGGATGACCAGGGGTCACGGGACAAAGTCACGGCCCGACTGGAACATGCCGAGGTGAGTCTGCATGTGACGTGGAGCAGCACTGTGGTATGGTGTTGTTCATACTGGCATGTTTACCTGTGTAACAGTGCAGCCTTATGGACCACACTAATCACCCTGTGACAATCATTCATCATGTATTCCACCACAGCATATCTGGCATATAATCATAATGTTACTGTTGTATTGCAGGGCAACTTTTATCTGGTGAGCATGCTTGTCCTACCTCTAGCCTCTTGATGTCTTATCATGTAGTGGTGTTGTAGCATGCTCTTATTCGGACATGTTGTTGTCAGGTGAAAGCAGGTTGTCAGGTGAACACAGGTTGTCAGGTGAAAGCTTGTTGTCAGGTGAAAAAGCATGTTGTCAGGTGAAAGCAGGTTGTAAGGTGAAAGCATGTCAGGTGAAAGTATGTTGTCAGGTGAAAGCATGTTGTCAGATGAAAGCAGGTTGTCAGGTGAAAGCAGCTTGTTAGGTGAAAGTATGTTGTCAGGTGAAAGTATGTTGTCAGGTGAAAGCAGGTTGTTAGGTGAAAGCTTCTAGTCAGGTGAAAGCTTCTAGTCAGGTGAAAGCTGGAATATTGCTACAAGTGGCTTAAAACCATGCTCACTCACTCACTCTAATCACTTCAGAAAACACTGCTGGATGAAATCAACTTATATGTGTAGGCTGCCTATAGGAACAGTGAACAATTAATAGGAACGGTGAACAATCAACAGGAAAAGTGACAATCAGTTGGCACAGTAAAAAGGCAATAAAAACTGTAAACAGGGATGAGAAAACTTAACACGGTCACAGAAACAGTAAACGGTCACTAATTACGATCAGAAGAAGCAGTGAACAATTGTTAAATATGCAACAGAAAAAGAAACCAGTTGTTAAATAGTGTTCTCTCTTGCCACACTTCATCTGAATGTCTTCATGTCCTGTATCTCTAGTTTACATGTGCATGCCAGTCTGCACCTGATAGTTTCACCTGATAGTTTTCCTGTAAACTTTGTTTCTCATCTAGGCATGTTGTTCGTTTTGTGAAGACATAGCTCCTTGTCTGAGCATGTTGTCTGTTTGTTGTCTGTTGTGTGTAGACATAGCTCCTCGTCTGGGCATGTTGTCTGTTGTTGTCTGTTGTGTGTAGACATAGCTCCTCGTCTGGGCATGTTGTCTGTTGTCTGTAGACATAGCTCCTCGTCTGAGCATGTTGTCTGTTGTTGTCTGTTGTGTGTAGACATAGCTCCTCGTCTGGGCATGTTGTCTGTTGTCTGTAGACATAGCTCTGCAGCAAGGGATGTCTGGTTACACTGTGGACAGCAGTCAGGTGCATGTCATGCAGCTGTCTTAACTTGTTCAACATAAACTTCTTCTAAATGTAGAATCATGTATCATTATAATGCACTGTCCAAGGAGGACAGCTTCACGACTCCTTCAAAGTCCACTGATCCTCTCACCTCTTCCACTGGTGGCCCTGTCCTTGGCAGGTGCTTGTCACCCACTGGTGTTCACTGTACAGGGTTAACTCCCCTTGGACACCACAGGAAGCTGTCAGTAGGTTTCAATCCCAGATCCCCAGGACTATGTTTTTAGGTTTGTCAGCACCATACTTATGTGTGTTGAATTCACCATCGTGGGAAACATATAAGATCATGGACTTGCCTCCCACATTAAGCAGACATGACATGAATGGAATACTGTCCAAAGTAAAGTTCAACCATGCTCACTCACTCACTGTTATCTGAACCTAATAATACATATTATCCACTTTCAAAAAGGAATACCGCTGATGGGATTTAAATATGTCATCATCTGAATAGTATTTTGTCAATTATCTGATTTATTGATGGGCATCAATTTTACACCTCAGTCTGAATAGTACACATTTCATTGACATGTCCTCCTTCCCCAATAAAGTGCTGCTGTTTGTTGCTGTAGGAGATCCAGGGTGCCATGGATCAAGGACACAGCTTGCTGCGGTGTCTACTGGACAGCTGTGAGAAGACTCTGCCGTCTACCAGCAACAAGGGCTGCCAGACACTGCGGCAGGACACCGAGACCGCCAAGACAGAGTACGAGAACCTGCTGACAGAAATGTCCCAGGCCAAGCGCAGTCTGGAGACAGCCTTGTCCCAGTGGGGAGACTTTGATCGGCTGTATGAGCAGCTGAACATTTGGCTCACTGATGTGGAGAACAAGCTTAGGTCAGACTCAGAGTACAAGACTGACCTCCCTGAAAAAAGGTCAAACATGGAGAAATTCAAGGTGATACAACCTCTTAGATTAACAGTGATTTGCATTTTACTGTATTTCTAGAAACAGCTCATTAAATATTGTGCATGTTCTCCCCAGGCCCTCCAGGCAGACATTGCTGCCCACAAGGACATGCTGGCTAAGCTGGAGCAGAAGGCAGGACAGGTGAAGGACTCTGGTCCCCGGGGTCATGTGTCCGGACTCACGGCCAGGTACCAGGCTGTCATCACAGAGAGCAGGGTAAGTGGATGATGTGCTTCACAACATCTTAGAGCCCAGACCTGTTGTCAGGTCAAAAGTGGTAGATTTAATAAATCAAAATCTGAGTTCCAATGCTGCATGCTGGTCAGCACAGTCGGTATGATTGAGGTTACTGGACCATCTATGTGGCTTGCCCCATTGTGTGTTGTACTGCTCCAGTGTGGTGGTCGGTATGATTGAGGTTACTGGACCATCTATGTGGCTTGCCCCATTGTGTGTTGTACTACTCCAGTGTGGTGGTCGGTATGATTGAGGTTACTGGACCATCTGTGTGGCTTGCCCCATTGTGTGTTGTACTGCTCCAGTGTGGTGGTCGGGTATGATTGAGGTTACTGGACCATCTATGTGGCTTGCCCCATTGTGTGTGTATTACTGTGGTCGGTATGATTGAGTGTGGTGGTTGTACTGCTCCGGTATGATTGAGGTTACTGGACCATCTATGTGGCTTGCCCCATTGTGTGCTGTACTGCTCCAGTGTGGTGGTATGATTGAGGTTACTGGACCATCTATGTGGCTTGCCCCATTGTGTGTTGTACTGCTCCAGTGTGGTGGTGGTATGGTATGATCGAGGTTACTGGACCATCTATGTGGCTTTGCCCCATTGTGTGTTGTACTGCTCCAGTGTGGTGGTGGTCGGTATGATTGAGGTTACTGGACCATCTATGTGGCTTGCCCCATTGTGTGTGTGTACTGCTCCAGTGTGGTGGTCGGTATGATTGAGGTTACTGGACCATCTATGTGGCTTGCCCCATTGTGTGTTGTACTGCTCCAGTGTGGTGGTCGGTATGATCGAGGTTACTGGACCATCTATGTGGCTTGCCCCATTGTGTGTTGTACTGCTCCAGTGTGGTGGTCGGTATGATCGAGGTTACTGGACCATCTGTGTGGCTTGCCCCATTGTGTGTTGTACTGCTCCAGTGTGGTGGTCGGTATGATTGAGGTTACTGGACCATCAGTGTGTGGCTTGCCCCATTGTGTGTTGTACTGCTCCAGTGTGGTGGTCGGTATGATTGAGGTTACTGGACCATCTATGTGGCTTGCCCCATTGTGTGTTGTACTGCTCCAGTGTGGTGGTCGGTATGATTGAGGTTACTGGACCATCTATGTGGCTTGCCCCATTGTGTGTTGTACTGCTCCAGTGTGGTGTTACTACCATCTATGTGGTGTAGTGGTGGTCGGTATGATCGAGGTTACTGGACCATCTGTGGCTTGCCCCCATTGTGGCTTGTACTGCTCCAGTGTGGTGGTGTGAGGTTACTGGACCATCTATGTGCTTGCCCCATTGTGTGGTACTGCTCCAGTGGTGGTGGGTATGATTCGAGGTTACTGGACCATCTGTGTGGCTTGCCCCATTGTGTGTTGTACTGCTCCAGTGTGGTGGTCGGTATGATTGAGGTTACTGGACCATCTATGTGGCTTGCCCCATTGTGTGTTGTACTGCTCCAGTGTGGTGGTCGGTATGATTGAGGTTACTGGACCATCTATGTGGCTTGCCCCATTGTGTGTTGTACTGCTCCAGTGTGGTGGTCGGTATGATCGAGGTTACTGGACCATCTGTGTGGCTTGCCCCATTGTGTGTTGTACTGCTCCAGTGTGGTGGTCGGTATGATCGAGGTTACTGGACCATCTATGTGGCTTGCCCCATTGTGTGTTGTACTGCTCCAGTGTGGTGGTCGGTATGATTGAGGTTACTGGACCATCTATGTGGCTTGCCCCATTGTGTGGTGTACTGCTCCAGTGTGGTGGTCGGTATGATTGAGGTTACTGGACCATCTGTGTGGCTTGCCCCATTTGTGTGTATGATGTACTGCTCCAGTGTGGTGGTCGGTATGATTGAGGTTACTGGACCATCTATGTGGCTTGCCCCCCCATTGTGTGTTGTACTGCTCCAGTGTGGTGGTCGGTATGATCGAGGTTACTGGACCATCTGTGTGGCTTGCCCCATTGTGTGTTGTACTGCTCCAGTGTGGTGGTCGGTATGATCGAGGTTACTGGACCATCTATGTGGCTACTGCCCCATTGTGTGGTGTACTGCTCCAGTGTGGTGGTCGTGGTATGATTGAGGTTACTGGACCATCTGTGTGGCTTGCCCCATTGTGTGGTGTACTGCTCCAGTGTGGTGGTCGGTATGATCGAGGTTACTGGACCATCTATGTGGCTTGCCCCATTGTGTGGTGTACTGCTCCAGTGTGGTGGTTGGTATGATTGAGGTTACTGGACCATCTGTGTGGCTTGCCCCATTGTGTGTTGTACTGCTCCAGTGTGGTGGATTGTCCAGTGGCACACACACTCACACTGAAAATTCACATTCAGTTTTGAATCCCCTTTTGGTAAAACCATGTCAATTCTTCCACCAGGATGCCTTTGTCAAGGCTGAGGAGCAGGTCAAAGGTCATGAGGACTATCGAAAAGCATACATTGCTTGTCTGGACTGGCTGGCTAACACCAAACATCGGCTGCAGAGAATGAGCGACTACAGCGGCGACAAGCGCACACTACAGGACAGACTGCAGCAGCTGAAGGAGTTCAAGGCCGACTTGCGCCAAGGGCAGGAGATGGTGAACCGGGCTGCAGCCCTGGGAGAGCGTGTTTGTGAGAGCACCTCACCTCAAGGTCGGTCTGTAATCCAGCGTGAAATGGAAGGCCTGCGCGAGGACTGGTCTGTCTTCTCCATGGCAGTCTCTGATGTGGAGACAAACCTGGAGTCCTGTATCGCCAACTGGGTAGAGCTGGACGATGACCATGTCACCATAATGAACTGGATAGACAAAATGGATGCCCGCGTTCGAGGACTGATGGAGCCCAAACCCAACCTCAGCCGCAAACAGCACCAGTACCAAGAAGGGGAGGTAAGTCTCATAGCACCAGTGTAAAGAAGGGGAGAGCTGTCTTACATTTCTTGTGACAAGAAAGGGAAGTAAATCTGACATCAAGGATAACTATGTTAGTCAGCCTTTCTGCAATGTTATTTTGTACTTGCATGATAGTTTGGAGTTGTTATCCAGGATGTGTATGATAGTTTGGAGTTGTTATCCAGGATGTGCATGATGAGATTGGAGGAAAGAAGGCGGCTCTGGACAAGATTCGAGAGAAAGGGGAGACAATTGCCCAGCGGAGCAGTGACCCTCGACTCTCTAACAGCATGATGCAGCTGTCCACCAAGTTCCAGGCTCTCTGTTCGCTTGCCAGGGTAGGTACAAATGCCACTGTATACACAGGTGATAGACCTGGCCCTGATAAAGATAGCACACTATCAGTCTCAACATAAACCAAACCTTCTCCATATGTTACTATCAGTCTGCCTCTTCTTTGACAGAGCACACTACAGAAGCTGAAGGACAACGTCCATGACCACCGTGTGTACGACGATGCCCTGGAGTCTGCCAACAAGTGGCTGGCCATGATGTGTGAGCGTGTGCAGGCGTGTAGTGACACCGCCGGGGACTGGACGGCCATACAGGACAGGATCGCAGACATCAAGGTGACAAAAATAAACTCTCATATGTTGTTGAGATTATCCGAATGTTTGGTTCACTATTGCCCCAATTTTGTTCTGAGTAAGATCAGGTTAATTTGAAATACTGTGTCTGGAAAAAGAACTTAATAGAGCTTCATATCATAAATGAGGCTCCAGTTCAATTATTTAGAAGTTTGTAATATCTAGTTTGAGAAAGAACAGGCAAATTCAGTAAGATAGTGTTCTTGTTTCTGTACAGGATGTGACTGCCAGTATGGACGAGGTCTACAGAAGGTCAACTATGTCTGTGATATGGCTGAGAAAATTCTACCAGTCACCTCCACAGATGGCAAGAGGACAATTGAAAGTCAGGTGACCCAGATGACCAATGAGTGGGAAAAACTAAATGCATCCATCAATGACTGCACGACCATGTTGGAGGGGGTCCAGCAGCGGTGGCATGAGTATGAGGAGTACTATGGTATGATCGTCAAGTGGCTGGCAGAGGTCGAGAGTCAGCTGGAGCTGGATCCTGAGCCGCGGGCGCAGCTGGCAGAGAAGAAGACCATTCTAGACAAGTACAAGGTCAGTAGCCAGGCTTGTCAGGGCAGATATAACAGTATTGCATTTGATTTGATCCTGGAGAAGTGCAATGTCAGTAGTGAAAATCAGAAATAACACTAATAAACTGAGGAGTAACTTTGAAAAGTGTGGACACACTTTTGTGAACCCGCTGGTAGTGGTAACAGGTGGCATCAGAGTAATAGTTTTGAATGAGATTTAATTGTATTTAATTTGAATATATTTCAAAATATAATGTGAATACCTTTACAAAGTGTCAAATGTTCAAACACAAAACATTTTAGATTTGAAGTGAACTATTCATGAGTTGTGAAGTCTTTGATGTCAGTGAAGTAATAATGCCTGTGTTGTTGCTGCTTCTGCAGATGATCCTGACTGACATTGACAATCGTCAGCGACTTGTGAATGAGCTTGCTGACCGTGTGGCTAACCTGGAGGCACTGTGCAACAACCCCGACGTTGCCGATTCCCTCAGCGATGTCCAGGCTCGCTATGATGGTGTCCGCAACAGGGCCGGGGTATGTCTCCAGAACTGGCATGTCACCCTTTAACTTGCCTTGTGGACTGGAAGACTTCAAAATTTGGTTTCTAAATGAAAACATGTTATCTTACATACAGTTCTACCATGAATTTGGAAATTTATTGATTCTGGTTGTAATCAAGGTTACCACCTGTGACTGAAACAGTTGGTTTGTGTTGGCAGGTGTTGGTGTCGGAACTTCAGGCGATCTATGATGACCACTTTGGCTTCCATGAAGCACAGCAGGATTGTGAGAAGTGGCTGCTGCAGACATCATATCGACTCATGTCTCACAACTCTCTCAATGTCAGCTCCCTTGAACTCACTCAGAGACAGATTGACAAACATAGGGTGAGTACATTCAGTAATACACTTGATAGTTCTGTGCGATACACTCGGTAGTACTCCTGGCAGTAGACTCGGTAGTACACCTGGCAGTAGACTCGGTAGTATACTGCCAGACTTTGTAGTACTCCTGGCAGTAGACTCAGTAGTACACCTGGACGTAGACTCGGTGGTACACCTTGCAGTACACTCGGTAGTATACTGCCATGCTTGGTAGTACTCTTGGCAGTAGACTCATTAGTACACCTGGAAGTAGACTCCGTAGTACACCTGGCAGTACTCTCAGTAGTACTCCTGGCAGTACACTTGGTAGTACTCCTGGCAGTAGACTCGGTAGTACACCTGGCAGTAGACTCGGTAGTACACCTGGCCGTAGACTCGTTAGTACACCTGGCAGTACACTCATTAGTACACCTGGCAGTTCACTCTTGCAAGTACACCTGGCAGTACACTCCAATACATTCAACAGAGGAGTACACAGTTACTTGGCAGTGTACTTGGTGATATACTTGGCAGTACACTCAGCAATATGCTTTACAGTACACACAATGTGGTGTCAGTGACCGCCTCCGTGGTGTAGTGGTTAGAGCGTCCACCCAGAGAGCGGAAGGTCGCGGGTTCGATCCCCGACCGCATCATACCAAAAGACGTTAAAATATGGTACTTGTTGGTCCCTGCCTGGCGCTCGGCATTAATGGGTACAACAAGGACTGGTCGGCTCGGAGACAGTATAATGTGTCTGAGTGGGGTATTCATGCTTCACTGCAGTATGGTATCTCAGTGGGCTAGCACTATAAAACCAGCTTAAGTCTGGGCTAGTACAAGCAGCCACACATACACATACACACGCATGCACGTCGTCATATGAGCGAAATATTTTCAAGCACGATGTAAAACCCAATTTCACCTCACCTCACCTCACCTCACATTTGTCAGTGCTCTTTGAAGTACTCTTGGCAATACACTCTAGTTCTCTAGGTGATATATGCTTGACAGCACTGTAGGCTGTACAACTGACAGTACACAAATTCACTCAAAAGTAGCATCTTTGGGCATCTTGGGTTACAATCACTGGATCACTGGGAGCATGTCATATAGTGCCTTATGTCAGCAAATACTTTGTGGTGAAAATCAGGAGTTGTTCGAGGAACAAGTGAGCAGTGATCCATAAGACTGGTGCACTATTTACTCCCCTTCCTGCAGGCCCTGATCCGCGAGATTGAGGACTATCGCATGACCTTGGACTCTGTGAGCCGGAAGGGGCAGCAACTGGTGGTGACCGCACCACGCCAACCACGACTGGCCCAGCAGGTTCAGTCCCAGCTCCAGAACCTGGAGGAGAGCTACATCAACCTGCAGTCCACTGCCCAGCAGATCAAGGTAAGTGTTGCCAATTTGGCTAAATGGGTGGTCATATCTCTAAGAACCGCATGCCTAAACGGGAGGTCATGTCCGGGTGGTCACATCTGTGGATCACATTCTGATAGCGATGCCGGCCCATGGTGCCATGTATGGATGATAGGTATAGGGATGACTCCACATTTCTGTTGCCATGGCTGTCTGTGACATGATTTGCATGCTGTTTATAATCATTTACATCTCATGTTTGTGTGTTTGGTCTGCTAACCGGTGTTGCAGGTTGCAGTGATTGGCTAACACAGTTACTTTAGTTGGCTGCGAGATCTCGTGTGTGCTGTGAGATCTTGTGTGTGCTGTGAGATCTTCTCTGTGTGCTGCGAGAACTTGTGTGTGCTGTGAGATCTTCTCTGTGTGCTGTGACATCTTCTCTGTGCTGTGAGATCTTCTCTGTGCTGTGAGATTGCTGTGCAATGCTTGTTCTCTGTCTGCTATAAGCTTGCTGCCTGGTTTTCACTTCTTGAAAGTCTTCAACCTTCCTGTCTGTTCGTCTCCTGAGTGCACACTAACTCCAGTATCTTGAACACTGTTCACCACTCGGTAGCCCAATGACAAGCTATAACAAGCCATGTTTGAGGAGAGGGTTTACTGAAGTAAGATCACCAACTAATGAGAGGAGCGGGATTTCCTGTGTCATCAGTCAAGGTCACAATATTCATTATGTCTCGAGACATGTTATACAGCTCAAAGCCACATTGGCAGCATAATGTGAGGATGGAGCAGCATTTTGTGGGAATTCAATAAGGATTATTGGGGAATTTGTGTCATTGGGATTAGGAGTAGGATTGTTGGGGAATGCTTGTGTCATGGCAGTTCTTGATGGCATTATAGGATAGTAAGTGCATTAAAACATTTGAATGGGGATAGCAGTATGGGAGAGTCTATGCATTATAACATTTGAATGGGGATAGCAGTATGGGAGATTCTATGCATTATAACATTTGAATGGAGATAACAGTATGGGAGCTTCTATGCATTATAACATTTGAATGGGGATGGTATTATGGGATGAGAGTGTAGTTGGGTTGTGCTGGAAAAGGTGTGACATGTGGGGCAAGGAAATACTTGCCAGTGTAGCTGGTGATCATGGACTAGATGACAGTAGGGTCAGAACAGTCTGATGGGAGGGGAGCCTATGTGTTGTTTGATGTAACTTGTCATTTGGGACTCTTTTATGTCTAGAGCACAGTAACCATGGCGACAGCCACCCGCTGGCCCATACAGCAGTGTGGAGTTATCGGGGAGATGGCGGGGGCGGGAATGAATATCAAGCAAACAGTTCTATTGGGGACAACTAAACTTTCACAAGACAAAGGACGGCACATTGGGCTTTTGGCATCGCCATTTGGCATCACAATTTGGCATCAATTTGGGCTTTTACAAAGAAATTTTGAAAGTAGAAAATTTAGGAAGGAAATGTTGAGAATCTAAGCCGTGATGTGCGTGTGCTGCATGCTGCTGCTCTCCTCACTGATGCTTTTTGTCCCTCGCAGATGATCCTGGATCACATAGACCTGTACTGGTACTAGAGTTATGTCCCTTCATCACTTCTCTCCGGGCCGCATTCAACCGGCCTCTTCTTGCTTGCCAGAAGTAGTACAATCGCCATGGGAACAGTATTGTTGTGTTTCAAGTGGACTATGTGCCAAGCATGCCTGAGATGTGTTGAATGCCTGATGTGAATTCCTACATATATACCCAAATATATACTGACTAACATCGCCTAACATGTGTTGAGGGTAGAGGAGAAGGAACTTGTGCATGTCATCTGGTCTAGGACATGTTGACCTAGGTCATAATGACCAGTATCATGGTGACAATGTCATGGCGACCCAGACTGCCGAGGTGATGCAGCCGGTGTCTGGGCCTTGCATGTTACCAAAGTCATGGTAACGTGTCACGCATGTTACTGTGCCGAGATTTAATGGTAGTGTTTCAAGACAGAGAGACATGGTCTTGCATTTCAGAGGAATATTCAAGTTGGGATTCAAAAACTATCATTGTATCATATTTTTTTTCATCAAAATTTCTCCATTTACATTCAAGGTATATTTTTCATAAATTTTTGTTTATTTTATTTTGCAGATGGCAAACATGTCACATTACTCACCATATGTAAAGTTTCGATTTTATTAATGGTTTGCTTTGCTCCTTAATAGTGTGTTTTTTCTGCTTTACTGTGTGAAGTGCAAGTCTGTGTCTAGCTGTCGGCCAGGCCTGGTCCCTGGTTGTCACTGGGGTCTGCAGGGCTGGCCTCGTGCCACTTGCTAGTGTTGACATATGCATAGTGTAGAGGATGGCAGGGTGTAGTTGCCCTTAGTGTCAATAGATATTTAACTGCTAGTCTACGTTATTACTCAGTGTAGGTTCATGCCTGAAGTGTAGAGTCTCCAGCCCTGGAAGCTGGTGTAGAACATTGTTCTGAAGGATGGGAATAACTGTAACTTTAACATTTCTGCTCAAGTTATGTGACTGCTTCTGCTCACTTAAACTATGTCACATTGAATCATCGAACATTCACGCAGTCTCTATTTATCAAGTATTTTTTACACATAACTTTATATTATCTTTTTTATCATATCCCGTCCAGATAAATGAGTTGTGATGTAAGTGCTGATGCTCTGTGCCTGTCACCAGTAATCAAGTGACAATCCTTTCCGTCCTCATGTATCTTGTGATAGGGGAGCAAGTCAAAAAGTCTGTGATAATATTTATTTATTTCCATTGTTAATTATGTGCTTGTTGTGAACCTGGTATATTTCTTGTACCGATTGTATCTGTGCGGGGGCTGCACTGTACCACCAAGTATTATTATACATCTACACAGTGCCCGTGTGGGGTATTTTATCCCAAATAAATGCTGAATATCAAACCTTGTGTTTCTTCTGTTTCTGCATGGAAGCATTGTGTGCATGTCAACATAGGTGTATAGTAGCCATGGTAACAGAATATTGTGGAGTGATCTTTATGCCATTTGAATCTAGTATCTCAGAAGAGATGCACCATGAAGGTGGCCCACAGCAAGGCTGTAAGACTTGTTGGACAATAAGAAGAAAATACATGAATATGCCTTCCTCCACTATGCAAGAAACTGCATGGAGAGGACAACCAACTTCAAGACATTTTAGTAACACTATTCTGATAGTTTGAGACAATTTTGATGTCCCTGAAGTTGATTACTTACCTCAACTTTTGCCAGCATTTTCCTCAGGCACATCAGTAAGTTTGTACTGATAAACAGTAACCCCTACTCAGAGAGAGAATTAGACAAGTGTGTGAGGTGTGCTCTGCCAGGAGATATAGTTAGTAACAGCTACGGCCAACTCAGCTATCACCTCACCACATATCGTCCTGTACAGCTTTACAGGGAGGGTGTTTATACACGTAACATGCCACCCTACAATCACCATGTATCTTCCTGTCCCAGGGGTCTTTCAACAAATCATCCTATTTCTAATTTTCATGAAAGAGGTTGAATCCTACTGTCCAAATTGAAATATCTCCGAATATTGGCATAAGTTAACAAAACTTATAAAATATTTTGTTCGGGTATTTGTCCATGGGCCTCTATGATTCAGTCCTGGTTATTTTGTCACATGTTTGTAAAGTCTGGTCTAGTAATACAGTTACCTCCCCCTTCAATAATATATAACCAGTGGTATATGTTAACATGGGGTAGAGCTGAAACCAGAAAAAGTATTTAAAATTTAGAAGACAAAATATGGAAGTTGTATCCTGCAGATTATGTTTGTTGTAATGTTAACGTATGCAACTTGATGAAAAGATGTACTTTAAAACTTTGTCTGTGTGACATTTTGGTGATGTCCTGGAGTAGAGTGTAAGGATGTCCTGGAGTAGAGTGTAAGGATGTCCTGGAGTAGAGTGTAAGGATGTCCTTGAGTAGAGCGTAAGGATGGTGCCTAAGACCTGTGATGGGCTTGTGTCTGACGTGTGTTGAGGTACATGTGTGACTGTACCTCCATGACATGCCAGCAGCAGTCATCACATTACAGGAACCACTTCCTCAACTGTTGGGGTGAGGAGTTGGGTTTGCTTACACTGGGAAGTATTTCAGTTCCATCTGTCTGTTGGGAGAGTTGATATATTCTCTCTTTGAAACTCTTTGGAAAAGTTTGTTTAATCAATTACTTGAAAAGTATTTGTCAAAATGTTTTCAAATTTGGAAAGCAACCTCTTTGAGAAAACAGCCTTATATGTATTGAAGCAGACGTTGTGGACCTGGTTGTCATAGTATGTCTAGGTGGCTCTCCATTGTGACAAAAGCCGGACATCCACCAGGCAACCAAAACATCACTGATGACATGACCTGTCAGTCTCGCTGTGAACAACATGACATCTAGGTGTTTTGACACAGTCATTACTGTGTTGTTGCCAGTCTGCAGTCAACACGAAATAGTGGCAAATCTTTCAGAGAACTTACAGGTCAATAATTAGTCTGTCGTTGCCTGGCTGTGTGCAGTCAAGATAAACTGTTTCAAACCAATTGGCAGAACGTGATATTAATGCTTGGGTATTCAGTTCTGTGTGAGATGGGGGACAACGCACATGCAGTTTCCTCCTCTTGGATTGTGTGTGCACAGGATTAATGAAAACACAACAATCAGATAATCAATATATAGCATGAATACAGGTATTAAACACCACTTAGGCACAGACTATTGAAAGAATCATTATATGGCTTTATGGATATTGAAATGCTATTGAAATAGTATTTAAGAAGTGCTAGCTGTGGATAATAGGTGTTGGGTGGGATGTGTGGTGAGGTGTGGACCCAGTGTTGTACAGTGTAGTGTTGCCTTGAGAGTACATCCACACACATTCAGATGGGGGGAACTTGACCTATTGTATGTGACTGGCACTGAACTAAGGCAGCAAGAAGGACAAACACACACAATGGTAAGATATTCTAGATGTTCAAAAGGTATCAGCTCGTTAAATTCAGTATTGATCCATTTGCAGAAAGTCATTGTGAGGTGAATACTCATCATTATGTTTCTCTATGTATTGACTTCGCGTTCCAAAAAGGAGATTCATTAAGTCACTACACATCTACCCTGTACAGCAGTCATCACCTCCAGGTCCCATCTCCACATCTTCCCTCCCTGTACAGCAGTCATCACCTCCAGGTCCCATCTCCACATCTTCCTTCCCTGTACAGCAGCAATCACCTCCAGGTCCCATCTCCACATCTTCCCTCCCTGTACAGCAGTCATCACCTCCAGGTCCCATCTCCACATCTTCCCTCCCTGTACAGCAGTCATCACCTCCAGGTCCCATCTCTCCATCTTCCCTCCCTGTACAGCACCTCCTCTGGGTCCCATCTCCACATCTTCCTTCCCTCCTGTACAGCAGTCATCACCTCCAGGTCCCATCTCCACATCTTCTCCCCCTGTACAGCAGTCATCACCTCCAGGTCCCATCTCCACATCTTCCCTCCTGTACAGCAGTCATCACCTCCAGGTCCCATCTCCACATCTTCCCTCCCTGTACAGCAGTCATCACCTCCAGGTCCCATCCCATCCCTCCCTGTACAGCAGTCATCACCTCCAGGTCCCATCTCCACATCTTCCCTCCCTGTACAGCAGTCATCACCTCCAGGTCCCATCTCCACATCTTCCCTCCCTGTACAGCAGTCATCACCTCCAGGTCCCATCTCCACATCTTCCCTTCCTGTACAGCAGTCATCACCTCTAGGTCCCATCTCCACATCTTCCCTCCCTGTACAGCAGTCATCACCTCCAGGTCCCATCTCCACGTCAACACCTCCAGGTCCCATCTCCACATCTTCCCTCCCTGTACAGCAGTCATCACCTCCAGGTCCCATCTCCACATCTTCCCTCCCTGTACAGCAGTCATCACCTCCAGGTCCCATCTCCACATCTTCCCTTCCCTGTACAGCAGTCATCACCTCCAGGTCCCATCTCCACATCTTACTTCTCCTGTACAGCAGTCATCACCTCCAGGTCCCATCTCCACATCTTCCTTCCCTGTACAGCAGTCATCACCTCCAGGTCCCATCTCCACATCTTCCCTCCCTGTACAGCAGTCATCACCTCCAGGTCCCATCTCCACATCTTCCCTCCCTGTACAGCAGTCATCACCTCCAGGTCCCATCTCCACATCTTCCTTCCCTGTACAGCAGTCATCACCTCCAGGTCCCCCATCATCATCTCCACATCTTCCCTCCCTGTACATCAGTCATCACCTCTAGGTCCCATCTCCACATCTTCCCTCCCTGTACATCAGTCATCACCTCTAGGTCCCATCTCCACATCTTCCCTCCCTGTACAGCAGTCATCACCTCCAGGTCCCATCTCCACATCTTCCCTCCCTGTACAGCAGTCATCACCTCCAGGTCCCATCTCCACATCTTCACTTCCTATACAGTCACCTCTAAAATTGAAGATTAAGTTCTGTCTTCCACAGTCTGTAGTGCAACAGACCATTATGTGTCTTTCATATTCACATAGGATCGCCTCCAGGAAGTCTTAGACAAGTGGCAGCAGTATAGAGACTTGCTTGAAGCCACATCACAGTACCTCCAGCGTGACTTCAAGGATTGGCTCAATGAAAATGAAGCTGATGTCCCAGACACACTTGACGAGGCACAGGAACAAAGGGAGGCAACTCAGGTGGGCATTAAACATTTAATTTAAAACAAGTAATATTCATGAGGAACATGCCTACAAATCATCATTATGTTATTGCTCAAAAAGGTCACTTCTGAAAAAAATTGTCACATTACAGGGAATGCTGGAGAAACTTACCACCAAGAAGCAAGATCTGTCTGCTGCTGCTCACCGCTGTGAGAACCTCGGCAGTATGGAGAATTTAGACCAGACAGAATCTGCTCAAGACTCCTCCATCTCCCGCTTAGCGGACAAGGTCAATGCAGAGCTCCAGGCCGCCATCAGTCAGGTGAGCTCATGTTGAATACACTGGGATGGGTACTGGAGGAGATATGTGGTGCAGTGTACACTGGGATGGGTACTGGAGGAAATGTGTGGTGTAGTGTACACAGGGATGGGTACTGGAGGAGGATGTGTGGTGTAGTGTACACTGGGATGGGTACTGGAGGAGGTGTGTGGTGTAGTGTACACTGGGATGGGTACTGGAGGAGATGTGTGGTGTAGTGTACACTGGGATGGGTACTGGAGGAGATGTGTGGTGTAGTGTACACAGGGATGGGTACTGGAGGAAATGTGTGGTGTAGTGTACACAGGGATGGGTACTGGAGGAAATGTGTGGTGCAGTGTACACTGGGATGGGTACTGGAGGAAATGTGTGGTGTAGTGTACACAGGGATGGGTACTGGAGGAGATGTGTGGTGTAGTGTACACAGGGATGGGTACTGGAGGAGATGTGTGGTGTAGTGTACACAGGGATGGGTACTGGAGGAGATGTGTGGTGTAGTGTACACAGGGATGGGTACTGGAGGAGATGTGTGGTGTAGTGTACACTGGGATGGGTACTGGAGGAAATGTGTGGTGTAGTGTACACTGGGATGGGTACTGGAGGAGATGTGTGGTGTAGTGTACACTGGGATGGGTACTGGAGGAGAGATGTGTGGTGTAGTGTACACTGGGATGGGTACTGGAGGAGATGTGTGGTGTAGTGTACACTGGGATGGGTACTGGAGGAGATCTGTGGTGTAGTGTATTCTGGGATGGGTACTGGAGGAAATGTGTGGTGTAGTGTACACAGGGATGGGTACTGGAGGAGGTGTGTGGTGTAGTGTACACTGGGATGGGTACTGGAGGAGATCTGTGGTGTAGTGTACACTGGGATGGGTACTGGAGGAAATGTGTGGTGTAGTGTACACTGGGATGGGTACTTGAGGAAATGTGTGGT